CAAATACAGAGACCTGTGCTTCGGCGGGTGCCAGAACTCTTCCGAGCGGAAGGTGTGATATTGACGTCACCCCCAAAAGCTCCAAATATGACGCAAATGCCGACAAATGTGAGACTTCTTTGTGACCAAACCAAGAAGTGTCTCCGCTTTTCCACTGAACTTCAAAAAGCGCTGATGCGCCTTTCCCTGAGTGATTGATAATCTTATCTACTGCCCATTCCTCATCACTTTCACCAATTCCTGTTAATTGAGCAACCTGACGGCCTGGAAAGCGCCTGTCATCATTTGGAATGTGAATTCTTAATAGTGATGCATGGAATGCAGGATGATTTCCCCTTCTTTTCAGCTCAGAAGGTAAATCCAACTTGAATGTACCATTGCCATAGTCCTCCACAATCTTGTATGGACCAATATATTTAGGCACTAATTTTCTAGACCTCTTCTTAGGAATAGACAAATTTTTGGTAGACAAGTAAACCAGATCATTTTTCACAAAAGGTGCAGGTTTTCTGTGCTTGTTTGCCTGTTTAGTTTGCTTCACCCTAGCTTCAATGATAGAGTCATGAGCAGCAAGAATCCCATCTTTGATTCTCTGAGCAAATACTCTAACCCCAGGATATTCAGATTTGGCATCCCAGATCATTGGTGGTGCATTCATGCCAGTGTTCAGATAAAATGGACTGAATCCAGTTGTTTCTGAACGGGCAGAGTTCAATGCAAACTCAATGCCAGGTAACTTGATAACCCAGTCTTTCTGGTTGGGTGAGATGCAAGACCTAAGCATCTGTCCAATAGTTCTATTGGCACGTTCAGTAGCTCCATCTGATTGAGGATGGAAGGCTGATGACATTTTCAGCTTGGACCCAATCAACTTGTGCAAGTGTGTCCAGAATATGCTTGTGAACAGTGAATCTCTGTCACTCACAATAATCTCTGGCAAGCCATGTTTTGAGTAGACATGCTCAAATATTACTTCAGCTATGTCCTTAGCCTTGTAGGTCTGCTTAGTTGGAACCAAATGAACCATTGAAGTCAAATGGTCAATAATGACCATAATCATGTCAAATTGTCCATGCCTATTTTTTGAAGCAGGTAAAGGTCCAACAAAGTCTATCCCAATTTGTTGCCAAGGACGGCTTGGGACTGGTAAAGGATTAAGTAATCCATAAGGTGGTTGACTACTGGTCTTGGAAGTTGCACAAATTCCACAGGACTTGCAGTATGACTTCACATCATCCACCATATTTTTCCACCAGACATTGTCCTTCAAGTAATACATGGTTTTTCTTGAGCCAAGATGAGCCAAAATTGAGTGTGCGTGGCCAATGATGATCTCATGGACTCTGCGCCCACCAACAATGATGTCCGGTATGCACAAAATTCGCTTATCACTATCGCGCAGGAAGATAAGCCCGTTATCCAATTCAAAATTCTTATAGTTTCCAGGTTTGTCCACTACAAGCTTAAAAAATGGATCCTCCGAGTACCTGTTCTTAAGGCACTCAGGTAAGTCGACTGTAGGCTCGCCTTGCGCGATTATATCAGTCAAGCGAGGTGCCGAGGAAGATAATAGCTCTTCCTCGGGTGATTGCACTTGTGTCACGTCTTGTGACTCTGTGTGTGCTGGCAATTTCTCTTTGCTCTCGCCCTCCAGTCGTTCCTCAGGTCTGTCTGACTCGTTCTTAGAGTCCTTTACATCGTTTCCTGACGGCCTCTGAGCAGTTTTCTCGGTTTCTGCTGCTGTAGAAGCCGTGTTTGGCCCACCACCCTTCCCTTGTCCCGGGCTCCACAATTCACCAGTTTCTGGATCTCGAACGCGAAGCGTGAGCTTGGGAGTCTTCAACACCTTCGCTTTACGTTTTCCCTTGGTGCTGGCGCCCTCCGAAGCGATTTTGGGAGCACTAGTGGTGGTTTCCATGAGCATGGCCATCTTTGCAAACACAGCTTGGCCTGTGCTCACTGGACGCGTTACAGCGGCCATTGCCTTCCTCAATTTCGACAAGTCGACCTCCTCGTCATCAGCTGGAACAAATTCGCTTGCCGCGCGTGTTGTTCCTGGCTCGTCATCACTGTAAATTCGAGACAACGCGTCTGCAAGCACATTTGTAGTGCCTGGAATGTATTCAATGGTAAAGTCGAATTCACTCATGGTTTCTAGCCATCTGGACTGACGAGGACTAAGCTTTGACTGTGTCAGAAGGTGCTCGAGCGAACGATGGTCCGTCAAGATCTTGAATTTGGCCCCGAGTAACAAGGTGCGAAACTTTTTCAGTGATTCTACAATCGCTAACAGCTCCACATCATGTACAGGATAATTCTGCTGTGCAGAATTAAATTTCCCAGACCAAAATGCCACAATGCGCGCGGTTTCAAGGCTATTTCCCTGACATACTACCCCGCTGCACCCCGTCAACGACGCGTCAGTGACGAGGAAGATCTGGGGTGATCCTGGTGAGTAATCCAGCGTTCGCCGTCGGTGATTCCGCCACTTACTAACCGTAGCCTTGATTTCCTCAAAGGCTCGCTGTTCAGTGTGAGACCAGCGCCATGGGACAGACCCGGTCAACGTTGTCAGCACTCCCATCGGAATGCGAATTCCCTCGCAATCAGGCGCTAGAAACCCGACTGCACCAAGGAATCCGGCCAACAAAGACGAGTTTGTTGGCGTTGGCCAACGCTCAATACTTTCCACCTTGTGTGGGTCCATCCGAATACCCGTCTCGTCAACGACATGGCCGAGAACATCCACGCTGTCAATGAAGAACTTGATTTTGTCCCCATTAAGGTACAATCTTTCGCGCCTCAGTATGTCGATAACGATTTTGACGTGTTTTGCGTGTTCTTCAGGCGTGTCCGAATAGATGAATATATCGTCTAAATACACGTCCAAGAATTTCCCGATGTACGGTCCGAACAAGTGGTTCATGAGCGCCTGGTATGTTGCTCCTCCGTTACAGTCCCCCTGCTGAATCACGAGACTAGCCATCGTCCCGTCGGGTGTGTTGAAGAGCGTGCGCGGGACATGATCAGGCTCAACGCGAATCTGTTCGTAAGCCTCTTTCAAGTCCAGCGTCGAGCGATACTTGTGCTTGGCGATATTGCGGAGAATGCCTTCGATGTCTGGCAAGGGCGATGCCATATGGTGAGTGTTCAAATTGCGTTCGCGGCAGTCGAAGACTGTGCGCATCCGTAATTTCTGCTCACCATCCTTGTTAGGCTTTTGCAGCATAATCAATGGTACCGCGTTTGGCCCTGGCAACATCTTCCAGCGTCCCGTCTTCAAGTAATTTGCACGCTTCTCTCGCCAAAGCTCCTTCAGCGGTTCCGGGCATTTCGAGGGACGGTAGGAGTAGTGTTTCGACTCATCAATGAGCGGAATCTTATGATTTATAGCCCGAAGTGGCGGTAGCGGAGTTTGCGATGCGTCAACACAGAGGTCGTCTGCGTAAGCTCTCAACTCCTTCCGTAACTTATTCAGCTCATCGTCCTTCAATTCAGCTGACATTGACGCGAGTTTCGCAACTCGCTCGCCTTGCAAAGGTTGCGACCGGATGCTCTGAATCCCGACTTGAGGTGGGTCCAGTCCAAAGATAATTTGGTGCTGGAATATGAACGGCGTCCCCAGAATCAAGTCATAATTTGCCAGATTCATAACATCAAAGCGACGCTGCTCGTCGATCCCTTGATATTGCAACCGGGTGGTACAACTGTAGTTTACCATGGTACGAGAACCACTCGCTGCCATTGAGACGCTCAACGGTTTCACCAGCTGTTCCACTTCCAGTTTCAATTGATCGACAAGTGTCGTTGACATGAAGTCTGCGAGCGCGCCGGAATCGAGCAACGCTCGGACAGGTTGTCCGTTGACCTGTACCAAAATGACCATGGGTTGCGGTATGAGCCGAGCAAAGTCGCGGACCCGCGCAGCATTGCGCTGCATCTCGATACCCTCATCAGGCTTCTTTTTGCCTTTCGTGGGTTTCGCTGCTGCTACGACTACTTCGTGAACCCACCGTCCATCCCCAGCAAAGAATGGACCTGGGTGTTGGGTCTCAGATGGTCCTTCCGACTCGCTGTCAGACACGTCTTGCAAGTCTGGCAAGTCATCCTGGTCCGAATCTTCAGTTGAGCTAATTGAAGATTCGCTGTCGCTATCTTGCCAGTCATCCGCACTTGGCGATGTCATAGGTGGTTGTGGCGGCTCGTCATCGTCGCTATCGTCCGATGATGTCCAGTAAGTGTCGGTACCATCATCCGATGTGTCGGTCGCTGACTCCGAGTCGGTTTCCCTCTCGTCATCAGACCCATCGCCGTCCTCATCTTCTCCGTATTCGTCATCGGAACCCCCTATCCACCAGTCCACCACTTCCTTCTCGTAGTAATCGCGAGCGTCCCATCTTCCATATAGGAAAAGATGGTAAGGAATCTCCCGGCCCCAATTGTGAAGACTATCTTCCATGTAGATGCAGTCGGCCTTGGGGTCGTTCGCTGCATCCCATCCGAAATACACCTCAAATCGGTTGGGGTCATGTACTCGGTCGTACATGTCTGGACTGGTTGGGTCAAATGAGTATGGTGCAGCCGCCAAAAGCTCTCTCGCTATCTTAGCACTGATTCGTTTCTCAGCTCCGAACTCTTTTGGTCGAGTTGTCAATGCCGCCAAGACACATTCGTGCATTGTAGGGTCAGCGCCACCCTTATGTGCACGAGCAGAAGCTTTTGCCGACTCCATTGCTCGTTTGTTCATCCGTGTTGGATGGAACTCAGTGATTAACTCACCCCGTTCCATAGCTTTCACCTTTTCGGTGAAGATGAAGTCGGAGAAGTTGAATGATGGGTCCAGCAACTGGGCGCGGAGCACCTCTGTCTGGTCGCAAAGATGGTCGTCGCACACGAGCCATCCCATCTGGGTGGGGACAATAGTAAAACGGTCGTCGTTGAACGGGTCATCTTCCGGGTCTTCGTGATAGTCAAATATGGATGGGACACTTTCACGTAGTTCATTCATCATGTACCCTACTAAAATCCCGTCTATCAACTCCAGGTATGGCTGAGATGAAAGATGAGCGTCAACGCCTGCAGTGTAAACACCCAAATCAATACCCTCTCGCAAATCGCTAAGGTGTCCAGTCTGCTCGACTGATGCCGCGTTGAGTTGTGTCTTCGGCCTCAGGCGGTTGTTTTCAGGGCAGTCCTTGCTCAAATGCCCAGTACTTCCGCACGTGAAGCACTTGCCTTGCGCTCGGTATTCGTTCATCTCCTCCTTGGACAATGTGTGCCGCTTCTTGTCCCTTGGTTTGTCGCGGCTGCCAGACTGCGTGCGCTGGTCGTTGTTGGAACGACGCTGTTGAGGTTTAGACTGACTCTTGTCAGGTTTCTCAGAATTGTCGTTCCGCGCGCCCTCCTGACGAGAGCCACGCTTCCGGTCACGGAATTTGGACTCGCGTTTTGTGTCCTTCCGATTCCCTGAAGCGCCCCCGTCATTGTCGGTCTTCTTCTCTTGGTCGCCAATCTTCTTGGACATTTGATAATTTATCCCCGTCTTGATTAACTGCTTAAGTTTAGCAGTCTCTTGCGTGTATCCGTCATACGCCCAGTTAGTCCGCATCATCAGGTCAGCGCCGCGCCAGAACTGGCGCACGTAGTCTTGTTTCCGGATACCTCCAATGCTATTGGCTATTGCCTCCAGTTTACGGTTGTATTCCTTAATAGGTAGACCACGCTGCTTGAATTCACGGAATCTTTCTCGTTGTTGGGTGTAGAAGTCAACAGGGAAAAATGTATCAAACATCCCTTGGAAGAGTCGTCTCAACGACCACTTCTTGGCCTTCTTGCCTACTTCCCTCTGATACCACTCCCGTGCAGGGCCCTCGAGGAACCGCCCCGCGTGATGAGCGCGCATCTTCGGACGGATGTAGGAGTCGCTGCACCAGCGTTGGACATCCCACATCCAGTCTTGCGTTGACTCAAACTTGGGGTTGATGCCAGTATACTTCTTAGGTTCGGTAGGCTTGATATTGGATTGTTCCATCTTCAATTGAGCCATCTTGCTGCGATACTTCTCGCGGTCGCGTTGCTTCTGGCGCTTGGTCCTCGTTGAAGCACTTGAATCCGCAAGCGACGGCGGCCCATTGAAGAGTTCCCAGTCCGAATTTGTCGTGACTGAACTGTCGGAAGACGTTTCCGAGCTGTCTGTTTCGCCGTCAGAAGAACTCGAGTTCGAGCTGCTCGAAGAGCTGGAAGAAGAGGGATCAGAGTCATGTGCCCCGTTACGCTTCTTCTTGCTTTTGCGTTTGCCCTTCTTTGCGGCTCTCTCTTTCCTCTTTCTGTTCTTCCTCTGGCGACGAGTGCGTTTATCAAGAGAGCTGTCTGACTCTGAATCTGAGTCAGACGAAGAACTGCTGTCAGATGGTGAAGGTGGACGTGCCTTCGACCTATGGCCAGTATTCAGCGTCGAATACATGGTGCTCGACTTTGGCAACTGACTGGTTGGCGCCACTGGAGCAGGCGCATTCTGGCGGCTGGACTCTGGCTTACGCGGCGCGGGAGTCGAGGACTTCTTGTCCGCACTAGTCGACTTTGACTTGTGCTTGTGCTTTGGCAACTCCTGCGGCTCCTCGCGTGCAGCCTTCTTGTACAACTTCTTTGCCAGCCTGGGGTCAATCTCCAACGCTGGCTTATGTACCCCCTCTGGGTTGTCCGCCATCTCGCGTGCTGCTCGCGCGTCAAACGCCTCCTGCAGTTCTCGAGCAAAAATAGCATCACCATCTATCTGCTCGTTTACCGCTTCCGCGGCATGTGCCTTCGACGTTCCTTGTCGAGGGCCATCGCGCCGTGCCGGCGGGACATACCGAGGTATATCCTCCGGCTCCTGCAATTGGTCTTGCAGTTTCAACGCCAGCAACGCGTCTGCCTCTATCTGATGCAGTCTGCGTTCGTCTGCCGCTCGCTCGTCCTCGGAGATATGGTCGGCGAACTGGACAATATTAGTCCGCTCCGTAGCCGCCCTTCCTTTCCCTTTTGCAACCGCCGGTATGCGTGGCAAGCTGGGCTGCTGGGAAGACTCGGGTGTCTTCAGTGTAGGCATGGGATCATCCTCGTCCTCGACCTCCTCCACACGAGCGCGTCGTGGATCCACTCTAGGCTTAGGCACCTGTTGTTGTGTAGACTCTGAAATAGAATTGCCTTCCGTTATTCTAGCTGATTTGAGCCTCTCAGCACGTCGAGCCAGCTTGCGCTGGTCCTCGAGCGTCAGGTTATTCACAATTTCAATCCAGAATTCAGGTGAAAAATCAGTTTCATTGTTATCTACCGGTGGGGACCACATAAGCTTAGGAGATACTCGTTCCTTTTTAACCATAGTGAACGTGGGTATCTCACCCAGGTCATCCTCGTCCGTTGAGTCCGCCCAGTCCCAATGCCTATCCATCGCTTGCCGCTCCGTCTCTTCCAGCCATTTGCCAATGCGAGGAGAGACTCCTGTTCGAGTTGAACCCGTGTCTGACTTCCCGCGGGAGGAAGCGGAGTGCGCAGATACCAGCGGATGTGTCGGACCCGAGACATCCGCCATTTGTGAGACCGAGACTGTGTTGCCGTTGCCGTTGTCGTGAGTGGAGGGAACCGCCGAGCCGTCAGCTGGTTCCAATTCAAGGCCTTGTTCAGACCGAACTGCCCCAGATGGGGAGTCTCTCGCAGCAGCTCCCACAAGGGAGCGCGCGCCCGCATCCGAGACGGAGCGGGGCCCTTCAGTAAGGGACTTGGCACTGAGGCCTTTCCCTGAAAGAGGCGTCAGTGACGATTCGGGCGCGACAGACTCACCGTTGCCGCCCGCCACGGTCGAGGTGCCTTTCGAGGCATCCATCTCGACCTCGCTTCCACGGCTATCCGAGCCAGAGGAAGCCACTTGAGGTACCTTCTTCGTTTGGGAACGAAGCTTCATGTCGACAGTGTTTTGTTAGTTCGTGGAAAGAGTAAGTTGTCTTTGGTGTAGTCGAGCGGGTGATCAAGCCGAGGACGTCGCCAAAGATGTCGTTACAACAGAGATGAGTGTTGAGTTCAAAAAAGTGTAAGGGCAAGAGACCGTGACAGACACGGTGATCTTCCCACAGAAGATAGAGTCGCGCAGAAAGAACAGTGAGTAGCTCTGTTGCGAGACCAAATCCTAGCTAATACATCCTTGTGTAGCTACTTATATACCTATCTACTGAAACCCCCGCCTTCTCCTTCCGCCTCTCCGTGCCTAGTGACGCTTAAGTGACGTATCCCTCACATTTAGAGGCTTGAATATAAACAATCACCACAACTTCATTGTGCTTAAGGAAAGTAACAACAAAAGAGCCTGAGACACCTACAAGAGCAAGCTTACCTGTTGACTTCCCAGTCAACTTTAAGTTCCATAAATGAGAACTTGTTCAGAAAAATGAACCTTAACATTTGCATGCTGAACTAAAATCACAACAACGGCACTCGGCTAATGGCTCGTTGATTCTTCCCGCACTGGCGCCAACAGTCATTCCACCTCATTCTGAGAGCGCCGTTCAATAACGGCGCAGTATGCGCGCTGATCGGGAGTCACCATCAGCCAATCTTTCTTTGCTTTTCACCACAACGACACTGGGCGGCGCAGTTGTGCAAAGCAGATTCCCACATCCCTTTTCATTTCCTCAACTTGCCCGCTCACTGGGGACCAATAAACGATGAGCTTTCTCAAGAAAGTGGCCAAGATTGCAGAGCGTCTGCCTGAGGGCTACCAACACGCGCGAAACGAGGTCATAGGTGTGCTAGCATCGTAATTCGGCACCCAGCATTCCTCTCATTATCATTTTAGGTATCCTCAATCCCAATCGTTCGTCCATAGCAGCTGCTTCTACCTCCGCTTAAGGCTCTTAGGTCGCCATGATGAGCCAGAGGAGAAGGCCATGGACCAAGTGCGAGCTGAAATCAACGCCTCCCACCGATTCGAGTCGTTCGCTGATGAGCGAGGAGAGAACACTGTCAAGTGGCATATTGACGGGCACGATTATATGTGGGCTGTTTCGGAGATGCTCGACAGTGCTAAAGAGTGCATATTCATCCTCGTATGTGTCTTTACAAGCTTTTGCCCTCGATTTTGACCTTTTCCGTAGGACTGGTGGCTTACTCCTGAGCTCTAGTGTGTCATTCCTTCCCCTCCGCCATCGTTATAACCCTTATGCATCTTTCACAGTCTTCGCCGTCCACCCTCCCAGTACCCTGAGTGGCGTCTTGACCGTTTGCTTCTGCGTAAAGCCGAGCAGGGAGTAAAGGTTCACGTCATTGTGTACAAGGAGGTCACACAAACCATGTCGATGAGCTCCAAACACACCAAGAATACGCTTGATAATCTCCATCCAAACATCGTTTGCTTGCGCCACCCCGATCACATTGGCTCCAAAGGTGCTTTCTGCTGAACGAATCTCATCTTCGGCCTTGACAACGTTCCACAGACACGGTTGAGTTCTGGTCGCACCACGAAAAAGTCGTTGTCGTGGACAACCATTATGCGTGTATCGGTGGACTCGATCTCTGCTTCGGACGCTGGGACACACATACCCATCCGCTTGCTGATTTCCATCCCACAGACCTGTCACTTACTCTGTTCCCGGGCCAAGTCAATACGAATTCATTTTACTGCCGCACTATTGCTCAAGTATATCCAGGACTATAACAACGGCCGCATCATGGACTTCCAAAACGTCTACAACTATGCTAGCAATGCGTTATCAAATCTGGAGAATGCTCGTATGCCCTGGCACGATGTAAACCACTCTTTTCTTTCACTCCCACTATGTTCACTCAGAACCTAGGTTCATATGACTCTCACAGGTCCGTCCGTTCTCGACATTGTGCAGCACTTCGTGGAGCGTTGGAACGAGATCAAGAAGCGCAAATACCGCGAGAAGGAGTAGGTTCTGGTTCTTCCATAAATTTTAGTTGCTTATGATAGTTTTTTTTTTTTAGGAAAGTCCCGGTACTCGCTCTTCCCCACAATGTCGAGTTTGCGCCCAACGAAGCGGTCGTGCGACATCCCCACAGGGAAGCATGGCACTCGATTGGTCACCATTATAAGCAACGCTGGCTGGGTCTTCCGGACGAGAATGACCAGGATGCGGGTACAATTTACTGTTGTTTATTGCACTCTCGTTTCGCTGACCGGTCTAACTAGCTCACTATGCCAAGAAGAAGATTCCTGGAATGAGGGTGCAAGTTATTCGCAGTGTCAGTGACTGGAGCCACGGAGTCCTGACAGAGCACAGTATCCAGAATGCATGTGCGTGCCATTTCTTTTTGTTTTCTCCTTCCTCAAACATTTGGCTACAGACTGCCAGCTCATTCGCGAAGCAGAGCATTACATCTACATTGGTGAGGGTTTCTTTATTTGCGAAGCTTGGAAGTTAACTAAGATGAACACAGAAAACCAGTTCTTGTATGCTCGGCACGCCTGGTTCCGTTCATTGTCATTCTAACCCTCACGTAGTATTTCTGCCACACACGATAAGGATGTCGTGAAGAATCAAGTCGCGGCAGCCTTGGTTGAGCGCATCGTTCGCGCTGCCCAATACGACCACAAGTTCCAGGTTATCGTTGTCATTCCCGAAGTGCCAGGCTTTGCGGGGAATATCAAGACCGAAGGCGGGCTCAAGACTATTATGGCCGCCCAATACCGAACTATTAACCGTGGTGGACACAGTATATATGAAGAGGTTCGGAAAGCTGGTTACGACCCGTAAGTTCCTTAGTTCTGGACTTGCGTCGCATTGACCTTTGCAACAGTGCCAAATACATCCGCTTTTACCACCTTCGTTCGTACGACAGAATCAACGCACCTCAAACGTCTTACATCCAGCGCATCGAAAACGAGAGCGGTCTCAAGTACCACGAAGTGCTCAGTGCTCTCTCTCGCAGATGGATTGGAAAGGAAGGCGGTGACCAAAAAACGTTAACGTATGCGCTCTCAACACAGACCACCGAGGGGCTTGTTGTTGCTGGAAATGATGCGGCAAAGACGGAGACGGTGCCGATTCCCGAGACGGAAGAGGAGGCGCATAGTATCATCCAGCGGTTCGAGGAAGCCGCGAAGGCCGTCCGGGGAGACAACGATGTGGCCGACAATGTTGCTCAACACATGCTGCATGACCGCACCAGCCTTTTGGACGAAAAGTGGCTGGGAACCGAGCAGGAAGAGCTGGATGCCTATGTGACCGAGTTGCTCTATATCCACAGCAAGCTCATGATTGTGGACGACCGTCGTGTCATTGTAAGTGTTGAATCTTCCTTTTCGTGGAGTGATTGCTCACCAAAAATATAGATGGGTTCTGCTAATTTGAATGACCGCAGTCAGAAAGGCGATGGGGACTCAGAAATTGCGCTGGTTGTGGAAGATACCGACATGGTTGCTTCGAGGATGAATGGACAGCAATACCAGGTGGCTAGGTTTGCGACATCGCTCAGGAGGAAGTTGTATCGAGGTCTATATTCCTTCTTCCTTAATTCCACATTTAACCCGGTTCTGATTCAGAACACCTTGGCCTTATTGCTCCCCAGTATGCAGGCAAACACGACAGGCGCCCGACTGATTTCATGCGACCGGCGCCACATCCGAACCCGAACGAGATGGAGGACAGGGAGGACTGGATGGTTGCAGATCCGTTGTCAGATTCGACTATGGAGCTTTGGAATACGACGGCAAGGAAGAACCGCGAGATTTTCACCGAGGTGTTCCAGCCGGTGCCGAGTAATTTGGTCAGAGACTGGAATGGCTACGATGTGCGTTTTGATTTTTTTTGGTGGGTTGTGTGACGCTGATGGTTTGAATATAGGTCTACGTCCCGAAGGTCAAGGCAGGCCATGTCGTGCCCAATATTCCATTGGACCGCGTCAAGAAGCTGTTGTCAAATGTCCGCGGTTCGCTGGTTGATGCTCCTCTGGTGCGTGGTTGTGTCGATTTTGAGAATTAAAGTGTTCACAATGGCAAAGGACTTTTTGATTGACCAGAAAGACTTCTCGGATGGGCCTGAGTGGGTTAAGTTGAATCCCACACTGCCCATCTATATCTAAAATAGCTCAAATGTTGTAAATTATGTGTTGATCTTGTGTGTTACACTGGGGGCAATGCATATGGCAGTCGGAAAAAGGGAGATCCAATAGCAGTTGAAGAAAGCCAAAGAAATCTTTGTTCAAAACAAATCTGCTGTTGGGCCCTGAAAACTGCCATTTGCTATAAGGATTGCACTCTGTGTTCCTCACAGTGTCTGTGTTGCACTAAGAATAATCATGACAATTACAACAAAGTTTGCGAATCTACGATAACCCTGCAGCGATTCTCATGGCAGCATAGTTTGGTGTGCCCATTCCTGTCACCGGGTCCCAGCCTGCCATTGCAGGGAAGCCGCTGTTGGGCTTTTAGAACTTTACAGTGGCAGGTCAACGTCACACACCTCGTTCCGCAACCGGGGTTATTGCCTGTCGTGATATCATTGAACATCTGTGGATTAGCATAGATCCACGGGTTGAGCCAGCCCAGGACGGGCTTGCCCGCGCTGATCAGCTCGTCATTCAGGAGGCCAATAACAGAGGCAAAAATTGGAGAGGAGCAGGATGTCCCGGCGACGGTGCCGGTGCGACCGCGCTGGACGATTTGCACCCGCTGGCCTTGGGCGGAGACATCTGGGAACGCACGCCCGCTTGCATTGAACTTGCCGGCAAACGTGGTTCCGAGCTTTGCAAGGTAGGCATTGACAGCGGTTGATTCTGGGTGTTTGACGCGTGAGATGGGCATGACGAGTTTGAAGATTACTCACGCCATGATTGTTGAGGAAAGTAGTTCGAGAACCCCCCAGCAGACAGTTCGGCCCCACGTTCTGGGACATTTTCGGTTGCCCCAACAAGGGTGATACTTAACAAACATAAAATATAGACGGAAAGAGAGCATATAACTCACAATGCACAAGTTGGGAAGGTCGGAAGGAATGTCACGCCGCATGTTTCACCCTGGGGTTATTGAGGGCAAGCGTTGTTTGACTTTTTGGGCTTACAGGTGTTGCTGCAACTCCACCATCGCCCGAAGCGTACATTAGACTACTTCCCCGGGCTGCCAATTGCATATAGGCATTGCACATTGCGCTACCAGAATAGATCAGCCAACAGCTAAATTGGTTGTACAACTTACACAGTGAGTGGCTGGGAAAGATCCATCTCGGTATTGAGGCCATAGCTGATTGTCAGGACTTGCGGAGGTGCTGCCTCTGCTAGGAGGGCATTGACAATATCCAAGAAACCCTAAGATATTCAAGAACGGAAAAGAAGGGTGTACAATACTACTTGCCTCATCTGGCCCATCCTGAGTCCGTGTGCCGACAGACACAAAGTTGACAGGGACACCAGTTGCCAGACCAACGGTGTATTGGATGTCCCTGAGCACGGTAAGCAGTGCTGCAATCAGGGAGAAAATACTGGCTCACAGGTCCGCCTCGATACCTGCTTGGTTCAGAGTCTGCAATTATCAACTATATTGGACTTGTAGATAGAAAGTGGGTAAAATGACCTGCGAGTTGGTGCCTCCATCAACAGAGGTTACCGCGAATGAGGTTGTTGGTGACATGTCAGGACGTTGAGCGCGAAGGAATTGTGTGAGATCAGCCTGACTGAAGCATTAAACCACCACCACAGTGCAAGTAGACAGAAGTGGAAACCTGATTCGCCTGATTGAGGTCAACACAGAGCCTGCAATAAAATAAGGAAGACAAACAAATTGGTTGCCAAAGCCCGCAACGCCGATGGAGTTGTTCTGGTTGACGGCTGGCGTTGTTCGAATGTTGTATAAGGCTTGGAGACATGCTGGAGTGATCGTGGTGTTGCAGCTGGCCGGGGGAGTGGCTTCCGGCTTAGGGACCACGCCGTTGCTGGCGGTGAACATGGGCCCCGCGCGCATGGGTCGCGAGAACGATGTTGTCGGCGCAATCAGGTTGATATGTGGGGCCAATTCAGCGGGGACCGCGTACGCGAGAGTGCGGATCGACTGCTTGCCGCTTGGGACATGGGTGAAGATATTGAAGTCCGCGTTGAGCATTTCGTTTGCCTTGCTGACAGGAACGGTGAACGAAACCCAGTCTCCAGCATGTGTCAATGGTGTTGATGCAATCCCGTGCTCTGCGAGCCATTGTGCAACGGCAGATGTCGTCTTTTCAGTAGGACGCACAAAAGACTCTACCTGGTGTTGTCAGTAACATGCTACTAGTAATATCGTACGAGAAGGCGCACTTGTTCCTTGCTCAGCCATTGTCCGTAGAGTGGGCTGTCGGGGAAGCTGGCCGCATTTAGAGCTGTTTCAAGGCCAGGTAAGTCGCGCTGGGCAAGGTTGATACGAAGATTGAGTATTTGTTCTGCCGGAGCGACACCCGAGTGGACGAAGTCGGTCGGAACAGAAGTTCGACGATCGAGAACGACCAATTTCCGGCCGGAGACTACGGCTGCGACGGATAAAAACGCCCAGAGACCAGAGAAAAGCATGAAAGCCGGGGAGTTTGCTGCATCACGACAACAGAGCGATTAAGAGCAAACGGCACTGCTCGATTTCATGCTACCGATAACAAGGAAGCCTTGACTTCGCTTTGTGTAAGCATGAGATGAGGGGGATGATTTCTCGAGGTGGGCAAAAGATTTCTATAACCAGAAAAGAGGGCAACAGCTGAGCGTTGGCGGAAGGAACCGAAATCTCGACAAAGATATTGACCATGCTTGTACCGGTTTCTGCTCCCACGCACCGTCCAAAAACATAGTATTATTGGTATCTCCTGGGAAGTATGTCGTTGGTTGGTGAATATAATGGGTTTCTGCCGGTCCCGGGTGGCTGGCGGGAAACCGGTGCGGACTTGAAGCTTTGAATCCTCGGCCTTTGAGGTTGCCACCATCGTTGAATCACATAGGAGTTCTTCCGCGGTGCGAGCTCGCCAGCATCCAACGCCATTCACAGACATGGCTGGCACACTGCCCTTGGCTCACAAAAGCTTTAAAGGTTGTTGACAAGCGCGCGTAAGTCACAGTCACGGGAATGTCACGGGAATTGTGACTCCGACTTGTGACTCCGTAATCCTCTGCTTAGCGATTATGGACGTCGATTCCGAGCAAACGGAGCCCCGCCACATCGAAGAACTCTGGTTTGAGGATGGAAATATTGTCGTACAAGCGGGCTTCGCGCAGTACAAAGTCTTTCATGGGATGCTCGCCCGCCATTCAGACGTTTTCCGCGATATGCTCTCGTTTCCTCAGCCTCACGAGTCTGAGCTCGTCGAGGGATGTCCGTTAGTGCGCCTGCCGGATAGTGAGGTGGAAGTTACACCGTTTTTAAAGGCGATGTTTATCCCAACGTGCGTGTTTCTCATTCATGCTCGGATGTTATTTGCATTGCTAATAAGAAAGGGTAGGTTTCTCGAGCCCTACCCTGCTACGACCGACTTCATGACTATATATGGATGCCTTCGCTTGAGCAATAAATACCAAGTTCATTTCCTGCGTCGTCGCGCTCTCATTCACTTCGCCTCTCGGTACCGGACGACACTAACCGAATACGATGCACTTAGAGTTTCTGGCAACGAATTGGCTCCAGGAACAGCCTCTTGGAAGATTCCTTATAGCGACAATGAAAGAGACGCATCGTGGGTTGTCTGTTCATTCTCGCTCGCACGCGAACTGGATGTGCTATGGGTCCTTCCAAGAATCTTCTATGTGCTTTCATCCCCCCAGCTCCGAGTCTTTCCAAATCTCTTCCACGGCGTGGATTATGAGGGATTACACTGTTCTCTCAATTTTGATGACCAGTGCCGTTTGCTGGAGGGAAGAGAGGCTAATTTTGAGCAGATGCCAAAGGTTTTGGGTTTTCTGCATTCAAAAGGCTGCGATCTTGCGGAGAGCTCTGGACACGACTCGGAGCTCAGACGTACTCTGGTGCAAGAAGTCATGTTGAACGCGTCTAATTACCCCCGGAACCTCTTGAACGTTTGGGCTCATGAAGACTGGTGCATGTTTACTGACCCCTCAGAACCGTGGTGTCAAGAATGTGTGACCAAATTCGAATCGCAGCACGTTTTAGCACGCGAAGCTTTTTGGAACCAACTGCCAGAGATGTTTGGACTGCCAAAGTGGAAGGAACTCGAGGCAATGCGAATCGCTGCCATTGGGAATGTATTCGAAGTGTGAGGATGTTTATGTTATCAGCATTCGGAATGAGTGTATGTCCAGTCAAGTACATGCAGCCCTCGCCTCTCCCCGCGAATCTCGATGGCGTCTTGTAGCGTGGTCGTTAATACGAAACCATTCTTTTCGAAAACGCGCACACTGCCGGTATTCCCGATGAAAGCGGAGACATGCATTTGCCGCACTCCCATTCGTGGAATGGCCCACTCTGTCATGAGTGTCTGGATTACAACAGACATGATTCCACGGCGGTGATGACTTGAAGCGAGGAAGTCTGCCAGAGCTTCATAAACACTTGACTAAGATTGAACCAAAAACCAACCCGATAACTGCCACACAATCTCAGGGTGTCCAGTTGGCAATGCAGCGTTTGCTTCCTTCAGTCGTTCACGTTCTGGGGCCTGAACGTCCCACCAGTTACACCGCTTGATTGTGATGTTTCCGATGAAGACATCGGTTCCGTCCGTCTGCATCTCACGAATGCTTCTAACTGGACAGTCTTCTGCAAAAACCAGTCCCTCGAGGTCGACAGTGTTTTCTAGCTTTTCGATGACTTCATTTGAAGAAGCAGTATACTCTTCAACAAGAGCCTTTGCATCAGAGAGTGTGTATTCCTCCGCAGGCCGTCCAAGCCATGGATAGACCTCAGGGTCGTTGATGATACCAACCAGAGCGAGAGCGTCGTCAGGTCGAGGCGGAGTCAAAATGAGGTTGTCGTGCGGAGCTGGCAGACGCAGGAAAAGTTCTCCAGAGGTAGCGCTGCGCTTGAGAGGAAATAATTGGTCCAACATGATGCGGGGATGAAGGTCGCCTTGCGTTATCATGCCACAAACTCTAATCAATTGGGCGACGATTGGAGCGAAATTCCTGTCAAATCACGAATCTGCGGTCTGTCACACTCTGGGTCACACTCTGTCAGCCTCAGGCAAGACCGTGACGGCTTTGCTTTCGTCCATTCTTGTGCAATGTGCATGCGTTCCTCTCAGCCATCCGCAGTTCGAGTCCGCAATCCCCGTTGGTAGTTACACGGCGCTAACGGCGCTGATCGGGTGTCGGAGCATGATGGCTTCAAGCAGTGCCCTACAGTATAGCGCGCTGCGCACTTTTTGAGACTGCATCTCATCTGTCACCGTCGGTGGACCTGTTTGGTACTAAAGTTAAAACAGAATTATGCATGCCTGAACACTGACTTTTTGTAGATAGGTTGCTTGCTCATTCTGTCCGCGGCCGTCCGCCAGATCAGAAAGTTAAAAAACTTGGAACGACTTGAACGCACTGCTAGTACCTGGGTCCTGAACTGCCTGCTGCGCGGGCATCCACGCAATACATCGAGAAAGTGCTGCCGCTCAAGTGATCCACAAGGTATCGGACGTTCTCACGCTTCCAACTGAGAATCGCGATGCTAACTCAAGTTTATCTATAGTAGTAACACCTTTTCATCATGGAGGGTATAAAGACTCGACGACCTCGATACGACAGGACCACATCCTTCTTCATTTCTTGTTGCACTCTTTCTTCTCCACGTCGGTGACTCGAATATCACCATGTTTTTCTCTTTCTTCGTACTGTCGCCCATCTTTCTTCATTATGCTCGCGGGTTGAGCATTCCTCGTGACGTCACCACTCTTCCTGCCCCACTTCGTACCGTCGATTGCTCCACGCACGTCCCTCAGCCCATCCAACTAGCACTCAATGTTACAACATTTCCGGGCCCCTTGCCACCGACGCTCGTCTGTGGGGAGCTGGACGTCCCGATGGACTATTCAAAGCCCATGGCGCAGGACAATACAATAACCGTTGGCTTTGCCATCAACCGACCCCAAAAGCCCGCAGGCTTGATGCTTTTGTGAGCCGTTCCAAGTATTGTGATTCCAACTTGACCATAGACAGCCACGCGGGCGGTCCAGGGCTCGATGCTGCCTCCGCCGCATGGGCAATTGCACTGAATACGTCAGATGCAGCGGCATTTGCGGGACTGGAGAATTTCGACTTTCTTGGTGGGTGTTGTCGCGTCCTCTTTTAACTCGGCTCAATCAGACTAGCGGTCAACACTCGGGGAATACAGTTTTCCAATCCACTTAATTGCACGTCCAATACCTTTTACAACAACGTCTCGTTTGCTTTGTACGTATATATGGCGCATCTTCGTTGTCTTCCGTTTGAATTAGTCCCAGTCCTTCAACCCAGGCCGAGTTCGACCAATACCAAGCTGCCACCTCCAATTTCATTCAGTCGTGCGTGAAGAACAGCAGCCCGCCTGGTATCGTCCAACATGTGGGCACGGCTGAGGTCATTCAAGATTGGGATGCTATTCGGGCTGCGTTAAATTACGAGCAAATCCATTTCGTCGGCGTCTCATAGTGCGGACATCAAATTCCTTGTTATGAAATTACTCATTCCATTTGTTCAGTGGGACATTTGTTGGTGCGGCTTATGCTGCCAAGTTCCCAGCGCGTGTCGGGAGATTTATTCTCGATGCCGTTATACCCCATGGAATGGTATGAGTGCCTTTTTCCTCGGTCGCTTCCGAGTTGGACTATCATTCATCCTAGCCCTTCCAAGACATGATTACAGACCAGGTCGCAGCGATAAATCGCTTGCTCCTCCGCGCGGATGCCTTTTGCATGATCGATCCGTCATGTCCATTTCATAGTCAAGGCAAAGGCGGAGTCGTCACGGTGGGTCCCCATATCATTCTCAAGCTGGCCACAATGTTAATTGTGTAGGCCTGGCAAACTGTTCTCTCGCATGCCTTGAAATCCCCGCTTCCGGCACCTCAATGTGGACCGGGAAAGGGATGCAACAACCCGGTGACCGCGACAGACCTCCGTCTCGGCGCCAGTGTATTCTTCCGCGCAAATCCAGATTTTCCAGCGTTCCTGCAAGCGCTTGATCTGGCGCTTAACAAAGGCGATGCGAGCAAATTTGCATATGTCCCAGCTGCAGACATCAGAGAGAGTGTCGTGGTCCCGCTCCTATGTTCCGATCTGAGTGAGTGTCGCTCCGAGTCCTGAGTGAAGAAAGACTGATATCGATTTGAAAGAAATCACCGACAAATCGTTCGACGCTTTTCAGGCATTTAGCACGAACTCACAGAAGGTGTGATATCATTCACCACAATATCGAACTGAATGGAACGGCAACTTAATTGTTATTAGAGCGATCCGGCCAAGATGGTCTATGCACAAATATGGCAGTTTGTGCTCATGTGTGACGCGTGGCCCTTTGAGGCACCGGAGCCAGCCAAGCTACCAACAAACCTACCATTGTTGTGGACAACTTCCGATTTTGATCTCAAGTATGTTGTCAATATCCCTGTCTCAAGCGTATTGTACTGACGACTGGGAACTGCATAGTCTTCCAACAGAGCTCGCGACCTTCGCATTCGAGCAAGCGCCCAACTCTACGCTGCTTATCCGCCACGGAGATGACCATGTTTCGTTTGATCGTGAGCCAATGCCCAGCTAATTGTTTACCTGCATTGACAAGATTTCTCTAGTCCCGAATCTTCCCTCGCACAAGCTTCAGATTGATTTTCTTCGGACTGGAGCATTCCCGCCGGCGCAGGACAACGCCAATGTCACCGTTATTCCGCCAGGCGGCAAGCGGTCATCAGTTGCACCTGATCCATATGCGGTGCCTTTGGGTCTCGTTGCTGGCGATTTCAGCGCAGTCGAAAATAATTTACCACAATCTGCCAGCATTCATAAGCCTGGCAGTGGTTCTGGGCAGAAGAGTGATAGCCAGAGTCTTCTGAATGGCCAAAACTTGAAGGAAGTAGGTAGATATGTGGTGTTGCTCCAGTGCTTGCTTTGCTTTAGTCTCTCCATCCTCTAGATCGATAAGTTCGTTAGATGCAGGCTTCGGCTTATTCTTCAATTGATAAATTTGACGCGGTCACGTGCACCAATGAGCTCGCTCCCTTCAATCTCAGGCTCCGAGCCCAGATACGAGGCCTGTACATATTTCTGTATCTCCTGATCATGAGTTTCCATGGTCACGCAGGCCCGCAGGCAGCAGTGATAGAGTGATAGGGCTACCAGGCCGCCTCGTTTTCTATGCCATCTGCATGCTAGTATTCTCAATTTGAGAGGACAGTTGGCTCAAGTTTGGCAACATTTCATCAAAGTTTAAATTTGGAAGCTGACCCGGAATCTCAAATTGTTTGTGCACCTTGGGTTTATACTGGCCTGTAGTATGATCGTCGAGTCGCCGATAACTTGAATAATAATAATAATAATAAAGCCCCAACTTGAACTTGAGTATAAGGCCAATAAATGGCAAACACGAGTACTTGTATTATTATAAACAGGACAAACTTCAGTAAAAAACCGTAGCCCACTTAGCCTCATCTACGGATGCCCACCAAGCGCGATCCATCTGCACAGAGTTGTACTGCAGCAACCCCCAGTAGAACTCTCCGAATTGCGTTGGAATCACGACAAAATCTAGCGCCACACCAGCTTTCCGAGCGAGGAAATCCGAATCATGAACAAACCCAGACTGTAGCCCGAACAAGGGTTTAGACCGGTCCGCTACCAACACTTCAATGCAGGGCGCCAGGGCGCGACCTGCCGATAGTCAAACACCAATACAACATCTCCGCTTGAGTGTTGATCCAAAGCCATGGCAGCTTGACCGTATTCTTGCGATTTGCGCCGACAATATCGTAACGTACCTGCAAATGGACGACAAGCAGTGAGTCATCAATCAGCATACAAAAACATAGACTCACGCACAGTCCAGACTGGTCATTAGGGACCCCACCGCGTTCAAAAAGAAAGATGTCATTGAAGTAGGCTTCACTCTGCAGACCTATCGGACCTTCTCGCCTGAGTTAGGTCCTCACTACAAATGTGAAGTGGTGTTGCGAAGCTTGGTAAACCTTGACGGGACATTTTCCAAAGTGAAATTGAATTTTTTTCGAGACAGACGACTCACCACTGCTGGTAGCAAGTCGCAGCAGCTAAACGAGCCGCATTGAAGCGCAAAGTCCACGAAGTCTCAAGCGCAAAAGCTGAGGAAAAACGCTGGAAGCGGATGCGAAGAAACGCTAACCCGATAGCTGCGCGTTTTACTGGTAAAGGGAAGGGGAAGGAGTTGGCCGTCGACAGCGAGTCTGACGAAGGGCAACCAGCGACGAGAATGAAGCTTGAAGGGGCCAGAAGGGCTGCATTTGATTCAGAATGTACAGAAAACTGATTGATATTCTTATACTTACAATACCCAATGTCGTTGAATTGTGCGCAGCACGGATAGATTGAAGGAAAGGTGAAGAGAAGGAACGGCGAGTAAAGCTGAAATGCAGGAAAGAAAGATTCGAAGTGACGTGGGACGGTTACATAATCTGCTGAGGTAACATCCTTGGACAGCAATACGACTAAGTCGGAAAACCCTTCAATTTCGAGTCACAAAAAAAGCTGTAGGGTTAGGGTTGAGACTACAAATTTCATTACAAAAATAGAATCTCTCAAGGGGAAAGATCGAGGTCGTGAAACGCGGACGACAGATATTGATAGACGATTACATAAGTACTCGTAATGACATCACAACTGAGTGCTGGGCAGCTCAAATTGACATCAATATTGTATGACTTATCATGATGTTCACGATGCTCAAGGGCTTCGGGATGGGCACTACATTTCCACCGAATGCACCCAATCTTTCAAGATAAGAATTGTACGTGTTACTACTAGTACATAGGACAATTCAGGAGATTAGCAAAACATATTGGGTCCGATTGCATTCGTTTTCGATAACTCGAGTTCCTCCCACGATGGGAGACCAAATAATCCAGGCAGATCGTCCCAAAACTTCTGGGTTGCTACTTCGTGCGATTGTATGAGAACATTGAAGCATATCTGACACAGCTGTTCTCTTTTCAAGGTCTGGCGAAGTACTTCCGCTGGGGCGGAAAAGAAGAGAATTGGGAGGGGAAGGTCAAGATTGTCCATTGCCGCCTTAAGGATGTTGCTATTGTTCAATCTCTGCCGAAAACAACCTAGAGGGTCGGTGCACGATGGAATGTCAATTGGGTTTGCAAAGGAGAGTGAAATGCTCTGGAGCACTGCTTTGTTCACGAGAGAAGAACCACGAATAAACTCCGGAGGAAGTGATGCTAGGATATTCGTTTGGAGAGGCGGCTCCGAGAGCCAAAGAAATATGTGGGGCAAGATCCATGGGATGCCAATCGTCTGTGCAGTGGAGACAAGCTGGAGTAGGATGTTTGCTGTAAGAGTCGCAGGCTCTGATACCCACGAGCGTTTGTCAAGGATGGAGCGACCATTGTCGGCAGTCTCCGTAACACGCGCGACATAATCACTCATAGACATGGCAAAACCCGAAGACAAGTGGACTAGAGCACGGCGCAGGAGATCTTCTACCTCGTACTTGTGAGCCAGTCGGAGACAGGCCAAGAGGGTCTCGAGGTCGATGGTATTGGGGAATGCAGGGAAATGGCTGGGAGACAAGTTCATGGGAACTTTTGGACTGTATTATGGACTCACCTGGGGTGATATAAGGCCATGAGAAAGTTCCTGGTATCTGCTTCATCATCAGGGAGCCGTAGCACGGGGCATTCGTCGATGGTCTCTGCATCTGCAGGTTGGGGAATCGAAAGCATGTCACGGAAAATTGGAGACCGCAAAGAGAGGATTCCGTGAAAGACTTTAAACTGCGCGTTTCCGGCTTGTATGACAATGCTACCATCGGAGAACCAGAGATCTTCAGACCGAGCGATTGCATTCGTTACTGTGCTCATGAGCGCACGAAGAGCGAGTTAATGCTGTGACTACTTGTGACTTCAAGTTTTGAGATCTGATTTAAAACGGACATCTAAATCAGTGTTTCGCTCAAGGGCCAAGGCCTTATGTAGGCCAGGGAGTTCTGCAGATGAAAGAGTTTGATTGGAACAGTAGCAATACTTAGATTTATTTAAGATGTCTTACCAGCCTAGTCGTAGAAATGCGGAATGGTGGTACAGCCGTAAGTACAAATGGATAACAATGCAGATAGATGTGTGGTCAAGTACAGTGAAAAGAGGTGTCGCAAAACAGTGCAAAGAGGAACAGAAAATGGGAGCAGGTAGCAAGATGTGCAACGAGAAAACATGAAGATGCGCAAGACCTGAATGCAATGCGAAAATCAGAGAAAAAGCAGACCTTAATCGATACCAACGTCCATCGCGTCGTCAACGTCAAGCGTTGAGCCCTCTCGTAGTTTTGACACGCCCTGACCCTTCTTCCTCCCGCCCTTGCCTGCATTCCCCTCCAGCCGCTTATGCAGGCCACGCTCTCTCCTCCGCAATATCATCCGCGCCACAAGCTGCGGCAAACTTTTCGAGTCACCGACAGCCGAGCCAAGACCGGCCAACCCTGCTGGGTCATCGTCCTTGGAGGCGGCGAATGGCGGGCTTGGGAAAGCTTGACTGGGGACAATTCCCAGTTCAAGTCCAAGCAGCGCGTCCGTCTCCCGTGCCAGCTCCTTCGCCCGTTTCCGTCTCAGCTTTGGCTGCCCCGTCGATGCGGCTAACTCGGTGATGGTTGATTGTGCACGACCACGGACGGCAAGCAGCTCTTCCAGTTCCGACTGCACAAGCGCTTGTGGTAAGCGGTCGACTAGTTCCGCGGCAGTGAACCCGTCGAGAATTGACACGTATGGTGTCTTAGTGCGGGGATGGGCTTGAGGTAGGTCAAGGCAAAGAGCGTTATCACTAGTGTTATTAGACGGTGGCGATATCGAAGGTAGATCCAGATCATCGTCTTCGAACATGGGGAGGGACGAAACGGAACGACGAGAAGGGGAGGCCAGGCCACCAGGGCCGGGGCCACACTCCATGTCAATGTCGAGGTCATCTAGGTCTGATGCTGGCAGCGACGCAAATGCCATCAGTTTCGGAGAGGAATATATCCATGGAGGCTCTTCGTCTAGTTCTCGGAAAGACGGAGCTGGAGACAATGGCATGGGGTCGCTTTCAGGCGAAGACCAGAAAGGTGACGGTGGCGAGGGTGACTCTGCGAAGTCAGTTTGGTCGCTATGATCGCCGCCAGCTGCCTCTAGATAGCCGCCCACTGACATGAGCACGCTGTTAGCGCCGTCAATCGAGTCACCAAAAGACTGGTCTGGCCATTCTGGTGAAATTGGCGAAAGCAGTTGAACTTCGGAGAGTCGATACGAGCCGGATAGCTCCGGGATGGGAAGAAGGAGGGTCGCATGCGGCAGAGCTCGCGTTGGTGGTGTGATCGTGGGCGGTGGGGACAACGGCAATGATGCCGCGGAGGAGGTAGTTTTCGTGTGAACAATCGGAGAATCGAGGATGCCTCCGATTGTGTGGGTCATGGGCAGGGGAACGCTGTATTGCGAGGCCGTTGGAGGCGGGGAGGGATAGAGCGCGCTAGGGTCGTGTGTTCCGTTTGGACAAGAATTAAAGCCAAAACGATGGTCAAACTCCAGTCTCGACGGGTTGGAGGGGGAAGAAAAACCATCATGTTCTTCTGAAATCATTTCCATTAGCCTACACAAGATAAGCCTCGCGCAAGCGGTGGAGCCAGAGAAACTGACAAAAGTCTAGGTTCTGGCAATGAGCTTTGCGCAAAGAAATCCAAGAAAAATGACCCAGAGTAAAAACACGCACCGTTACACGGTCTAGAGTCTATGTCGGTCCATACCCTCAAGAGGGGTTGAAATTGAGTACAAATTGGCGTATGAGTAGTGTTTGGTCGTGGTGGAAGAGTAAGAAGAGGGTCACAACGCATCACCGCGAGGCCAGGGCAATCACGAGTTGCTTCCGACCACGACAGGATTATTGGAGTCCCATCGCTTCTTTCAATTGTACATGCGGAAAACTATATCCAGGATACTGGGCAGCAACCACCTCATTAACAGCCGGCGCTCTTTTTGCAACGAGGCATTCACAACTTGACCACTGACATCCTCGAATCAACTTCCTTGCTATCAGGCGCCTTCCCACAAGCAAGAGGCTTGTTTCTTTGCAGAAGCCTTGCTCGCCCACTTTGGATACTGCAACGTGGGTCTTCACCGCGCTGCTTGTGCGAACTTCGACAAGCCCAACTAGTAAACTAGTAAGTACAGGCAGGAGGAAAGGTAAGACGTCGCAGTGAATACGACCATGCAGAGGACATAAGAGACTCAAAGCTTGAAGGACGTGAACTTGAAGTCTAAGGCGAAACAGACCGGATGTTTTTGGTCAGGTAGCTGGTTACTTTGAGCAGGAGTCAAGGTCAACAGTTCCCGAGTTCAAGTTAGGTCTATTTTCTTCGTTGCTTACTATCTTTCATTTGTCAATCTATGGATCCCAACCCTCGATCTTGGGAGCTTCAAGAGCAACGCGAAGCAAGGGCAAGGGCAAAGCAAAGCAACTTAGGATCTCTTCGTTGATCATGAAGTCGCGACATCGAGCACTGTATTCGACGTTCGGTCTGTTGAAGTCGTGTTGACTGCACAGACCGTAGACACGCCCTGGATCCTACCCCACGAATTGCCTCAAGTCGCAGGCTCGCCTCTTCCCCCATGAATGCCCTTGCATCGTTTGGGTTGCTTATTCCCGGAGTTGCAAGCGAGGGTGGCCGGCGCCTCGTCAATGTGTTGAAAGCATTGTTCCCGGGGATCTCTTTCTCTACTCCGTTTGACACTGAACTGAAGAGTGCCTCCGCCATAGATTAGATGGCAACAACCACATACGATAGGGGTGATGGACAATATAATTACTCACCAACTGGCAGTTCCTCTTCAAGTTGTACTTTTTTTTGCAACTTCCAGCGACAGAATTCTACCGGAAAGGAAAAGAGGCCAGCATCATTCGTGGAGAATACCAGTGTTTTCGGGCTCTTACAGAATCGCACCTAGCGGTAAAACTGCAAATTTGGGACGATTTACACCTGGCTTGTTTGGTCTGCAGCCTGACAATGAGTCCGGCTACACCGTCTGCCGTCGTGGGAAGCGCTGCGAATGCCCAATCCAAAACTAATACTATTGGGTCAAAAATATTTGGCTCGTATGCTATTACTTCCTTCGCAGAACCATTTAATTGTACAACTGGCGAAATGGGAAGATATGGTAAATTGCGTCCTGGTGAATGCCTCACGACAAAGGCTTCCTGATTTGCGCCGCTCGAGAGTGGGATAAAGGAGCAAACTCTTGCCGCATTCAACGTCGTGCGTCCCCTACAGGTTTCCGAGGCGATGCCTCCAGAAGCTTTCGGTACAAATACCAAATACCAAATACCAAATAAATTACTGCAAGGTCCCAACCTGGAACGGCAGCTCCCGTAACTACTTACATAGAGTACCAATGTAAGCTACGGATGTCAACGACTTCCACCGTTGTGAACAGGCAGTCATACCAGTTCGCATTCTGCCGTCTCGCAGTTTCCGTTCGAAGACACGAAAAGCAATAATATGAAATTTTACCAGGCGCCACGCATACACCTGCCAGACTATGCACCATAAGACTATCATCTGAGTACCCCTCCCCCAAAATCCGCTACATACGCGGGAGGTAGCCACAGTGGTGTCTCTCCATACAAATCCATGACCTGTTTGGTGAAGCGCGCCACACGAGAGATGATTTCCCACCTCTTCTCAATCATTTGACTGTGCAGCAGTGCACGCAACACCTCCACCGCGGGGCCTTTGGACAACTCTCGGAAATCGGGCCAGTTGGTCATGATATCATGCAAGAACTCCGCTCGCATCTCGACTAGCTCAGCACTCCCCTGACACACGAGCAGGGCGTGAGCCTCATCTTCCACAGCTTGTAGGCAAAGTCGGCACAGTCGCCAGTGGCGGGACACAGTCTTCCACGGTCCCCCTCCTCGGCGCAACCTCTCCACCGCCAACTCATGATCTGAGAGCATAAGACGGACCAGCGCTGTGCGACTCTCGGCGTTCACAATACGCAAGTAATCCCGCCGAAGCAGCACCACTTCCATACTCCTTCCGCGTGACACCATTTCCCGCCGACCCTTCAGGAAGTCAGTCTTCACCAGGCCGTAAATTTCGCCTTGGAGCCACAAGTTGCAGAGCGACGTGACGTTTGCTATCACCCTGTCCAGCGTCTTCTCGGATAGCAGGTCCTCCCATTCCAACTCCAACCCCATCGGCAGGCTCCGTAGCACGTCACGTAGGTCTCCTGCCCAGCCTGAGTAGCCGTCCCGAGCAAGAGCAATCGAATCTTGATATGCCCGGCCAGCCAAGCTGATATCCTCTGACTCTGACCACTTCACAAGATATTTGGCATATCCGAGCGCAAGCAGAACCCGACGGTAGCGGATAGGCATCACCCCAGTCTCTGTGAATAACCCTGCCACCACTGAGCGTGCAGACAAGCGCAGGAGGCGACGGAGGAAGTGAACCTGAACCTTCTCTAGATGCTCATAGTCTGTTCTTCCCACATCCAAGACCACGTCACACCCCGAGATGAGATGAGGGTCAACCCTGGCCATGTACAACCGCAACCCTGTCGCCGGGTTCCATTTTCCGACATGACGTTCAGCTGCAAACGACACACGCGTCATCATTAAGGCTTTCGATGCCTTTAAACAATACTGTTTTCGAAAGATTTGACGTTCAGTGGATTCGAAGTAGACACCGATGAACTTGTATTCCGTGACAAACTTGATTCGTTCGCTGCCAATGTACAGCGGCGGGAAGGCCCGAACCGGAGCACCCAAGGACATAGCTGCAGTCTTCAAGACACTGATAGTTGCAAAGCTAAAGCCCGACCACTTCTTCACAAAGTCCAAGCGACGTTGACCTCCCGAACCTGTTGTGGATGAAAGGGCCAAGTCATCCGCATGCGCAATAAAGCAGATAGGCACCCCATCGAGTTCAATGTCGTCGTCATCCGGTGGGAAAACCAGATCTGCAAAGTAACGGTTCCACATTCCCGGGGACCCCGTGTCTCCAGTAAGCACACCAATTAACGATTTGAACCTCTCAGAGAACACTCCTCCGTGTCGACACACATACTCCATGCGTGCATACAGCATGCGCAACCAGTCAAAAAGAGGGCCGCCTGCGCCAGCTCGCCACAATTTCAGCCAGAGGGTCGGCAGGTCTGTAGCCGGGAAGGCATTCTTGAGGTCTACAAAGACAACAAACAGCGGTTTATTGATTGCGCGCGCCCTCTCGATCATGCATCGAAGGATGAAAGGGTTATTGCTAGTTCGGCGTCCTTTCCGGAAGCCATTCTGGTTCGGGGGTATGAGATTAATATCTGTTGACCATTCCTCGAAGCGAGCGTCCATGAGATCTGTGGCCACCTTTAGCAGACAACACTCCAGTCCAATCAGGCGATATGATGCAGGATCAGTAGCCGATTTGCCTTGTTTCAAAACCCCAATGAGGATTGTTGTTAGCCAATCTCGCGGCATACCCAGTCCATCGACGCAAGCCTAGGTGAGTTTAGTCAGGCGCACCCAACTATGAGTGTCAACATGCCTGAAATAATGTCACCAGGACGTCATTTGGGATGTCCAGCAACTGGGAATACTTTATTCCATCGACACCCGAAGCGCTTTTTGCCCCGTGTTTCTTCATCTTCCGTTTGGCCATTGCAATCTCCTCCTCCGTGAAAGGACGCGAGAAGTACCTCTTCGGCGAGTGGTCCGTTGTGCGTGTCGGTATCAGCCCAGCCATGCACGCGTTCCACCGATGAGCCTCAGCATCAAAATGGGGAGGAAGAACATCTGGCGGGTTCATACGGACAGCATAGTCCTCTTTCAGCTGGACCACAGTGATGCGGGCAGTGCGCGGCTTCGGATCTGTCCATCGCCGTATGGTTTTCCACCATTCGGCACTTGACTCTGCATTAACCAGCACTTCCAGGTTCTTTCTCTGAGCCTCTCTCTCCGCAGCACGCCCACGGTGAGACTCATGCTCTTCCGGTAAGTCCGACAACCTCACTACCCGTCGCTCCCGTAAGTCTACCTCTGGCAGTGCTGACCAGATCTTAGCGCTACCTGTAGTAGACGGAACTGGCTTGTCAATATTGACAGGTTTCACCCTCGGTATGCCCAAGTTCACCACTGTCGTGTTACTGCGCGCTCCGCGAAGGGCCATTGCTTTCGCGCGTCGCCAGTGTGCGTTTGTCGGTGCTTCTGTGGCAGGAATATGGCGGAACTCTACAGCAGCCGCTCTCCCACGCAAGTGTTCTGCGGCCAGTTGCACCAAGTCTGGATTTGCACAGTCCCAGGCCCGTGTGGCCAATTTCCCGGCCCAGTAGCAGAACAAGCGGATGATGTATCGTGAAGTCGAGTAAACGATTAACGTGCGGTAAGACGGTGTTGTCGAAGCCAGGACTGCCACGGCCATCAGTAATGCACGAGCTTCCGTTTGGCGCCCTGGCACTCCAAAAGCTCTGTTTCCTGCGGCCGAGTCACCCATGAAGAGTACCCCACAAGACTTTGTATCCATTCCCCGTCCCGAGACCCCCGCGGCAATATAGACACTTAACGCTGAGGTCGATACCACCACCTCTCCAAAGAAATCGATATTCTGCTGCTCTGCGGAGCGTGCGGAGCGCAAGGCCCAGTCCACCAACGCATCCAATTCAGGGTGGGGGTCGGGATTGTTGCGTGGAGGTGGCTGCGGGTACATGTCTGCCGAGTAATCCATAGCGACAATGTCCACCTCTTCATTCACAAACAACGATATTACTGCATGATCGGACCATCTCCGCAGTTTATCGCTCACCACGAATTTGGGTTTGGTTTCTTGTGTGACCGCATCGGTGCAAACCCAAGCGTAATCGATTACTGAATTCCCCATTGCTTGAAAGGAAGTCCATTTGCCAGGCTGATCAGCGTCGTACTCCGAGCCGTTCAGAATCACCAAATCCAGCTCTCCGCCCAGACCCAGACACCAACGACCGCGCGTGTTCAGTACTACATCGACAGACGAGCGAGGCAAGACAACAGTTGTTGTGTTTTCCGAACCCGTACGACAATTCAGATCCCCGAGCCAATAGCACCGTTTCCGCCGATTGACGCGACAGTAAGCCAGAGCCTCCGCGATTCGCTCCTTAGGATCCATGTCAGTCCATTTTTCCCAGTCGGAACCCTCGGGGCAGAGATATGCAAAAACCACATAGAAGTAAGAGAAGTCGAGAACAATTTGCTCGCTTGTGGACAAATCTTCGAGCACTGTGAACATTAGGTCTGCTTTCAGCACTACCACCAACCCGCCATGCTGCTGCAAACCATCCTCATAGTCCGCTCGGGAACGCACCACCACATCGTATCCATCTGGAATTGGCAGACTCTCTTCTTCTTCCTGACGCATCCATGTCTCCAGGAAAGCTACCACGTCATTAGCCTCAATAAGCGCGACGATGTCTGCTTGCGTCAATTTCAGAGGCAAATTTCCATGTATATTCCAACAGGAGATTGCAAGTCTGCAAAAAACATACAGCATACTAAGTAAGGAGATATACCAAACAGAGCAGTATATCTACCCAGAAGCGTCTCCACGCAGTTTAGCCCAAGGGTCAGATGTAACCACCGGAGCCAACGATGCCGACATTCTCTGACCACGCGCATCCGCCGGCTGTTCATGAAGCATTTTCCACAGGAACGTTTGCGCTGTTGCGTGAGAGTTGAAGCGGATACTAATCGTCTCGTCATGGCCCTCGACACGTACTGCCGAAAGCACCGGTCGCTTGATTCCAGCCATTGAAGGGAAACAAGCCACCAGCCCCAGTGCCAACGGCAAAGCATTCCCTTGCTTTGATACTCCAGCAACGAGAACATCCACCCGCCCGTTATTAGGTGCATTACCCGCTGAAGGACCTGCTGAGGAAGTATTTCGCTTCTTGGACTTCGGTTCAGGTGCAATCGAGTCCATGACTTGGGCCGCGGGGAAGGCATCATTAAACGAGCGAGTGATAGGTGGATTGGAGCTAGTGGCCACCTGGGGTAAAGAGGCAGTTGCGGCAGGCAAGGCACTCGCGGTACTGACTGCTGGAAGGCGAGAGAGACGATCCATTGCCGCAACGACCGAATCCAACCTTTCAGTCAAGTTGTCCACTCTGGTAAGGAGGGCGTTGCCCGCTCGAACGGAGGCGCCCAATGTCGTGTAAACATCGGTGAGATTAGATTGGATGTCTTGAACCTGGCGACCCATCGAATCCAGCGAACTCTTGGCGCCTTCCGACTGAACACGCAGCTCCGTGGACAACAAGGTCACCTCTTGCAACCGCTGAGTTATCACAACATCGCGGGAGGCAACATCCGACTGCAGGGCCACCAGTTTCTTCGCCATAATACCTGCATTTGCGTCGGTACGCGAGCGGTGCGCCGCAACACTTTCCCCCTGTTTGCTGAGGGGTGCCACCAAGAGATGACAATGCAAAGTTGTTGTCCACTGTCGTCGTTGAGCCTGACTCCACAGCAGCAGCCTGAACATCTCCTGCTGCCAAGGCGGCGTTGAAGGAGGCAGTCGTTGAGCGCCGCATACTACGCTTATTTGTCGGAATTGGGCCAACCGAGGGAGAAGCACCAGTTGAGCTCTGAGAAGCAGGCGCCGCAGACACAGAGTTGGTGAGAGCCATTGCTAGAGCAGTAGCATCGACACCGACCCCTGACTCCTGCGAACTACCAAACGATGTCAGGTCAGAATCAGTGAGCCATGTTCATTTTACACACGTCTTTCCCGGAGCCACAGATGCAGCCACTACGTCCGCAGTGCTGCCAACATCGACCACAGTTTCCCCATTGCCAGCTGAAGTCGGCTTCGCCGCGCTTTCTATCACTGGGGTCTGAATGCAGTCCGCACCCAGCACCGCGGGGAGCGGAGGCAGAGCAGTTGGCCCACTGATGCGGTCGACACCTGGGTCGAAGTCGGGATCAAGAGAGATAAGGGAATGATTGAGAAGAGCCATCGCGCTAGCACGTAGGCAGATAGAGCAAGCACAGTAAGATTGAACCGGGGAAGCAATTGTGGGCCAGCCACCAGCAAACACGAAGAGAGAAGGATGATATGCGTTCCTCATGAGCTACCAGCTGTTTATATTCTCCTCGGTATCAGTGCCTAGGACCAGGAGGCTCCTTTACGCTACTCTTCCACTGTACCAACCAGGTACCAAGCTCTTGAAAGTGCACGCAACCGATTGCCTATCGCCCCATTTCTTAGCTGGCCCGGTACACTACCATTGTCAGGTATTCACCACCAGCGCGCCCATTTGGGCGACACACACCAACCCAACCTCTCTTCATACTTCACAGATTACAGGCCCAAGACTCAGACCCAAACATATCTGGCAATTGGTATTTGGTGTCGTCGTCATTTAATTGGTCTTTGGTAACCAGACAACAATTTCAGCAATGCCCATGCGCAAGGCACTTTTGCATTATTCTGAGGCCTCATTCACTAGATATTCGTCTTTTCGACGATACCAAACCATCCCCTCTTGTATCTATAGACACAAGGTCCCAATGTTTTGGGCCCATCAAAATTTTGATGGTGGTGGTCGTGAGGGGGAGTCTACGAGCGCCACGATACTGGGTTTGTAAAAGAGACCATTGTCTCCAACCTCAAACGGCGCATCCATAATACAAAACAGACAAGAGATATTTAGGAGTTATTTCCGTGATCCGTTGCAAATTTGGTGCGAGAGAGAGTGGGATGCATTCTTAGACTTTTCGGACGAGGGTGTCTGCGACGTATGCTTGTCAAGACAACGGGAAAACGTGCGAGGTGTACAAAACCTCTTCTCAACTGCCACGGATTTATAGACTTCCCTCGTGGTCCAATCGTAGTACAATGAAAAACAAGGCCATTAGCAAGCAATGCTTTTGAGACGACGATGTCAGACTTGAAAGGCACAATTGCCAGTGCGATAACTATAATGATTATCTTGATCTGGTGACCAGGGTCTAATTCTAAAGCACTTGTGCTTTTATGAAGGGACGAGAACCACCCGCCCTTGCACGTCTTCGTTCACCGTCCCGACTCGCAAAATGTAGGCCGTCAACACCTCGTCCAAAGTATCGAGTACCGCAAATCCAGTCTGGGCAGGGATGATGTTGTCTCCTCCTCCAGCGGCGTAGTCGGAAGTGACGATGGTATATGTAGCGGCCAGGTCGATTGTTGCACCGCCAATCTCGAGACTGAGCAGCTTTTTGGTCGTCGGGTCGTATGTGACCGTGAAGCCCGCAATCTGTGGCCAAGTCACCACCGCTGCGCCATTGGTGAGTGAGGTCCCCGACACGGCTCCTGCAAATATGTCCCAGATAGCCTGTCCAGTCAATCGCACATCCGTCACGGCATTTCCAAAGGGGAACGCATTAATAACGTCTCCGCGCGTGATGTCTCCGACTGGGATGTCTACTCGGATGCCTCCGCCGTTCAGAATACACCCAGCGGGCGCACTCTGGTTTTTGCGGTAGTCCATCATCACGTCGCAGATGAGGTCGCCGAAGTTGCATTCGCCCGTCTTGCAGCCGTTGTGGTTGAGCAATATGGACGTGCTGCCGACGACTTGGTTGCCAAACGCGTCAAATGGCGCCCGCCACGCCTTGATTTGCGACTGCAGGCTGGTGTCTTGAACGGAGGTGTTGGTAAGATGAATGGGGCCGCCAGTCCAGGATGCGACTCTCCCGCCAGGCGCAAACTCGATGTCAATGTAGCCAAGATACTCGCCGTAGCGATATCTTTGCGTTCAAGTCAGCTCAGCCACAAGTAGACCACAGACTCACGCTTGGAGAATATACACGTCCTCTCCATCCAGATTCTGCACTACCGTCGGGTAGGGCCCCGCAGCGCCAGCCATATTTCCCAACAGCGTATGCGAATGACCGCCAATTACGAGATGAACACCCCTTGTGTTCTTCGCAAGCTCCAAATCGACATCGTACCCAATATGGGTCATGACAATAACCCGCTCGACATGTTCGTGTGCATAGACATAGTTTGTCCAGTGCTGAATAGTATCAGTGGGGTCGGAGAAGGTCGTCGACTTGTCTGGGTTACTCGTGGTGGGAATTGTATCAGTGGTGACTGCAATGACAGCAAGCTTGTACTGAGGGAAGACGTGGTAAGGCTTGACAGTAGTGTTTATGGTCGGATTGGCACTATCCACGTTGGCGCAGACGATTGGAACGGTCAGATTCGCGAGCTGGAGTTTTAATTAGCAACCTCAAGAGTACATGCAGCAAAAAAAAAAACGCACAAATTGCCCTAAATAAGTGTCCCCCCGGTCAAATTCGTGGTTCCCCAGCGTCATTGCATCGAAATTTAACTGATTTAGCGTATCCGCAATTACCTCCCCGCCGTAGTAGCTGAAAAAGAGTGTGCCCTGGAACTCGTCGCCCATATTGAGAAACAGCGAGTTCTTGACACTTTTGCGGCCTGCATCGACAGCGGCTTTAATTCGCGCATAACCCCCATAGCATCCCTTCGCGGGGTTGGTGCAGTCAGTCCCCGAGGTCGTTATTTCGTCAAGGTGAGCGTGGATGTCGTTGACATGGAAAATGGTCAAGTTCAATGCTGATCCGTGGCCTGGAGGCGGGTAGCCGGGTGGAGAGGGTGAAAGAGTGATGGTCCCGGCTAAAACAGCTGCCCAAGAAAGCGCAAACGAGAGTAACCTCATGGTGGGGGTAAAGAAGGGCTCACTCCGACGGCGCGAGTGGGGCTATATGCTGATCGTCGGCGGGCATGGTGATGACAGATTCCACGAGGTTAACGGGATGTCAGTTCCAGTATGTAGACAGGCTTGCAGTTGGAGAACGTGCGTTGGCACAATTTGGTGATAGTGGCGAAAGGCAAAGCAAAGGGCAAAAGAGAATTCAGTAAGTTGTTGGTCGCTTTTTGCAGAATTGGACATCACGCCCTATTAGTACTCTTAGAAAGAAGAGCAGCAAGCGCTATCAACTCAGGCACTGCTACTTATTAACTTACATCTGGCAGCTAACAGACGTAGTCCTTCCTCCGCTCCGTTCCTACTCGTCATCTTCCATGACCATATTGTCCGCTCCAACAATACCCCACTTGACCATATAGCTTAATCCGTTATTCCACGACTCTACCCTCTTTGCCGCGATGCTTGACACCGTCGAAAACTTGGTCCCCACAACCCCATGTCCCAGTCCTTGTATGGCGTTGTCGATGAGCACAGTGTACCACGGGCCATGCTCGTCTTTGGTGGTGGTGTGGTCGGGCCGAGCCCAACCATAGCTTGCAACCTCTGCCCACCATTCCTCGCTGACTTCATCGCTTGTCATAACGACATGTTCGACCGACACGCCCTTCTCTTCCAACAACCTGGCCTGCAGTTGCTGGACACGGTGCCGATAGGTTGACAGGGGCGCAAAGCAGTCCTCTCGAGAAAGACCATTACACCAGTCCTCGAAGTCTCCGTGTCGGACATGTACGGCAATATACTGGCGACAACCGTCAGCGTGTGAAGAAAAGAGACAATGGTTACACACCGGTGGAATGTCCTCTCCAACAGCAACATCAAGTATTTTGCGGAGATACTCTTGGGCCAGGCGCTCGATCTTCGGATGGAAATGGAGGTACTGACCGATCTGTCTCCAAGTTGAAGAGTAATCCATCCATATATCGTGCGCCTATCCAAGCTCTCAGTCACCTGAACAATACCCCTTTCCAGTACTTACAGAGTTCTCGCAAGTGGTGAAGAGGTAATCGAAACACATCAGATGGTCGTCGGGGGTAACTTCCAGCTGCAGAATCGACGATTTCACTGGCTTCTGGGACTGGATGCTTTTCCGGTAAGTTCTCGGAAACGAAAGCGCCACGAGCTGAGATAGCCGAACGTGTTCGTTCCCTGGCTGTTCAGGATACTGTTTGACCCAATACGGTGCAATCGAATACGATATATCTATCGAATGGTGAGGCCGCGACATCACATGATTTTACTGGTGGACGAACCAATTTTGAGTTGTTCTGGAGTTTTTTTGACATGTGGTCCCTTGTTATTCACGTTCGCCTGGTCAAGGTTCCAACATCCCAACGAGTCCAGCTCTGCTTCGTCACTACTCGCGTTTTTGACGTCTGCCCATTGAACAACCTGAACACCAGAAAGCTCCGTAAACCGGGGTAGGTCAAATACATCTTTGAATGGTAGATTTGTGGGCGTAACGGCAGCGGCGGCAAATGTCTTCCCGACGTGCTGCGGGGCCGGAAAGAAGCTGTCCATGATAGCCACGCGTTGCGTCGCTTTCGCGAGGTAGAGGAGGTTAATGTACGACATGATGTCGTTCGCTGAAGCAATTAAGTCGCACAAAAGACGTGGCGTAACACCTTACTGAACCCGTTTCCGTGCCATGTTGTAATGTACTTCAAGTCTGCCCGTAGGTTGTCTATACTTTCGGATTTAACGGCTATCGGCATGTGGAGTAAAGCCACACCTTTGAGGCGTCTTGTTGGTGGGCCGTTTAGGAGGAAACGTTCTGGGGTATGTGTCGTCGTTAGTACCGGTATTGAGGGTGGCGATTCGAGAGCGGTGTCGGCAAAGGGAAATAGCCTAAATGCCAGCAATGAGCCACAGACCAGCACGATTGCTAGAGTGGGTGGTCGTCGGGTAAGGAAGCCGTAGTTTGCCAATGATCGCATGTGGAGAAAGGAAAGTCAATGCTCTCCTGTCTCGACGTCGTTCTTCGACTCTCGTCGTTGGGATAGGGGACATCTTGGATACACTGGGCTGAGTAGATAGTGTCATCAATGAAAGAAAAACGTGCTCACCATTGTCTCCAAACAGTCTTGTCACTTAGTTCAGTAAGAAGTATTGAAGACCTGACGAACATGAGTTTGAGTGTTGTCCCCTCGAACCATTCAACTCACCGATTTGAAGCGGTTCAGCTGCACATTCAAGCTTCAAGTTTCTTCGCTCTGTTTTAAGGCATCATTCGTTCCTCTTCTACGCTCAGCGCAGTCCGAATTCTGAGGTTACGGCTGCCATTTTGCCCCATAACGTTCCTGGAGTCTTGTCATATGAGCTGCCAGGCTGGTCAAGAATGATTTGTTGTGACCGTGACGGCGAAGTCTAGAGCGAAGTCTACAGTATGTAGTCTAGTGCTAGCAAATTTTACTCCAACATAAGTTGAGGTAAGAGAGGTATTGGGCTATTTATCTTTCTACGACGTGTGGCCGTGCTCCTCACCGGGACGAGTACAATAACGCCAGTCAACTCAGCACCCAACGAGAAGAAAAAGTTGCAGCGCAGATTATAAAAACTCGTCTCCGATTGCCGCTTTCTTCATTTCATTCAGCTGATTCCAAGGGGGAAGCCCGTGTAGCCCAGGCAGTGCAGTCCAAAAGCCCTCTTCTATTGCCTTCACCCGAGACATCAAGTCCGTCAAACAGATTCGACAAATATGCGGCTTGGGACCCAATTCATCGAAGGCGGCCCAGTCGCCGTCTGCCCAGATAGTCAGCGGATCTCGCAGGTACTCGTGGAGCATCCATTGATTGCTCGAAACGACCCGTAAACACCGATCCAAACAGTCTTTTGAGGAGGGACAAGCGCTTCTTAGTGCGGGGCCCGGGGTTTGCAGACAGTGAAAAATTTCCAAGGAGGCTGATGTATGAGAGTGCAGGGCTATTTCGACGTTGATTTGGTCCTGTGGGGATAGATCGCCCGCAATTCCACCGAACTGGACACCATTATAGACAGCTCTCCGAAGACCGCCGACGACCAGTTGGTAAAATAAGTGCGGCAGGACCCACAACGCGTCGACTTCACGTGCGAGCTGGACAAGACAGATCAGGAAGTCGTCGTCCGAACTCATCGCCCAGGATGAATAATTCGACACTGGATGCGAGAGGTCACTCAGCGACGACGTCCGCAGGCGAACGCGATTGTGTTGCTGGAGCTCGGTCCGGAAACGCGAGCTCAGATGGATTAAAGCGCGCTTGCGCAGCTCAAGTACTTCATACTTGTGTGAGAGTCGGAGACACCCATACAGTTTCAAGGCGGTTGTAAGGGCTGGGAAAGGAGGGAAATATCTTGATTCACTAAGTTAGATAACTCGAAGAACAGTAACTTGAGCACGCACTCTATGTCAAATAGAGCACTTAAGAATGGCGTAGTTTCCTCCTCCGGATCCGGGATTCGCACAAGGGGGCATCCATCAACAACTTCTCCGTCAGCAGGTTGCGGAAAGGACAACATATCTCGGAACACAGGCGAGTGGCGAGCGAGTATGCTTCTGAAAACCCGATATTGCACATTACCAGCTTGGAGCACAATATTTCCGTCTTCAAACCAGAGTTCTGGAATTCGACGTGGCACATTCAAGTTGGGCTGGGCGTTCATAATGGATATTGGTCGCAGGTTGAGAGGAAAGTATGTGACGTCACGTCACGTGAGCGGTCTTCTGAGTCAGCAGGCGCCAATCAGGAAGGTTTTTCGGTGAGATGAAGTAGGCGCTTTACCCCGCTCTTGTTTCTGACCACCAAGTCTTCTTCACTCTACTCTCTCCTTGACAAAACTCCCGTCATACCTGTGCCTCGCAGGATGGCCTCCCGGTTTCGGAGGCTGCGTTTTCCCTTACCTTCTCGATTCTTGCTCGGCTTGTCGATCTCGACTGGGGGGCTGTATCTTGCCGCGAAGCAACGTGAGCTCCATGCTGACTCCCGCCCACCTCTGTCAAGCGTGGCTCTAAAATCCAGCAACGAGGCTATCCCACGAAGTGAACTCTTGGTCGCCAACTCGTGAGTATGTCCTCACCCAATCCTTCTCGCGACTGGCTTGACAGTATCGCAGTAATCTACCTGCGGAAGATTATGTTTGCTCCTTACCAATGGAGCCATACGCTTGGAGATTTTATGGCGTTTTCGATGGACACAACGGACACCACTGTGCTGCCTATCTTTCGAAAAACTTGTTACGCAGGATGAACGATGCGCTCTGGCAAGAATACCTTCGGGACGAGAAGTTCTCCTTGAAAGATATCTACCGCACTATCAAGGAGACCTTCCTTGCGGTCGACAACGAGATTGTAAATTCTCCGGCCCAGCGGCTCCGCGACGAGCCTTCCGAAGCGCCAATCCGGACTCTTGCCGCAAACACCCTCCAGGAGGCCCGTTCTGGAGCCTCAGCGATTTTCTGCTTCTACCAAGGCAACATCCGTAAATTGCATATCGCTGTTGTTGGCGACTGTCGTGCCATTTTGGGGCGCCGGCGCAAAACCGACGTCGCTGATGCCCCACCGATGTACGACGTCCACATCCTGTCTGTTGACCAAACGCCAGACAATCCGGCCGAGGTAGCACGCCTAAAGGCTGCACACCCCCATGAGCCACACTTGTTTCGAGACGGCAGCTTTCTGGGATGGGGTATAACTCGCGCTTTTGGGACGGGGGCCATGAAGTGGAGTCGGGAGATGCAGGACTGGATGGAGCGGAAAGCATTTGGGCTTAAGTACCGCAGCGTGTGCCAGTCACCACCTTACTTCACCGCCGAACCAGAAATAACGACGACCACGGTCGAGCCTGGCGACTTCATGATCATGGCCAGCGATGGCTTCTGGGAGTGTCTTACCAACGAAGAGGCCGTCGGACTGGTCGGGAAGTGGCTAGAGGTCACCGGCGGACCGCTGCCAGGGAGAAACGATATGCCGAGTGAGGACTGGGTGGTGGAGCGACAAGATTTGCCCGTCGAGATCACAGACGGACGGACGCATTATCAGCGATGGGGCGTCAAGAAAAAGTTCGTTTGCTACGATATCAATGCAAGTGAGCATTTAGCCAGGAATGCGCTTGGAGGAGCAAATAAGGATGTCTATAATGCGCTGCTTGACCTCCCTCCGCCACATTCTCGGCTTCTTCGGTGAGTTTGGTTGAGTCCATAAGTATTACTTAGTATTTGCTGACTTTCCGGACTTCGCAGTGACGATATAAGTCTTGCTGTCGTGTTTTTCTCGTAGTAGTTGTTCGGAATCAATAAGTAGAACGAAGTGATGCTTGAATTTTATTTCCCATTCCGGTTATACTAGTAATTATGAGTTGTGTATGTTTACGGTAAGTACTATCTTAATGTCTCTCTCCTTGACTCTTATCTCAATCCAACCGTTACATTTACTTCTGGATCTTGTTCTTGTGCACGTGGGACCTTTAGGCCTTATTATTATTGTTGTTGTTCTGGATGACTTGCTGCAGTGATTTTTTTGTGGCACATTTATATAGTGCGTAAGAGCATTTTGGTGCATCCCTTCAAGGAAGATTTCGTGACGCTTCTTTTGGGCTGACATAGGTCGTCTGCTTCAAGACTGCTTGCCATGTTTTAAATTGTTTCAACTTTCAAGTTAGCCCGGCTTGGTATTAAAATGTTTAACCAGGCACTGCGACTAAATCCAACCGAGGAAATGCTCTCGAGCACCTGGTGTAGCTGCGCATACACCGTGTGTGAGGCTGCATTTTGCCTAGAAACTCCAGCTGCTTCGGGATCAAAGATCACGGTAATATCTTTGATGGATGACTTGCTGATGACTCAGCACGAGCTCTTCTGTCTTTCACCATCACATGGACGTTGACAATATAGAGACAATAAGCAGCCAGCGCATCGAAGAACTGTGGTTTGCGGATGGAAACATCATCCTGCAAGCGGGTAACACCCAATTCCGACTCTACAAGGGCATTCTCGCTGCACGGTCGCCCATCTTTCGAGATATGCTCGCCTTGCCTCAGCCACCGGAAGCAGAACTTGTAGACGGATGTCCTGTGGTGGAAATGCACGATGATTCAGCAGAGTTGGCTATCTTCTTTAGTGCAATCTTCATTCCCCAGTGCGCGCTCTTTCTTTTCCATTCAAATGGGCAACTAACCAGTCGATGTAGATATTTCGCGCCATTTCCAAACGAGACAACATTCGACAAACTGTACGCATGTCTTCATATCAGCCACAAATACGATGTGGAGTACATATATCGCCGCTCCCTCATCCATTTGTCGTCTGGGTACTGTACCACCCTCGAAAAATTCGACGAGTATGTGTACAACAGCCACCTTCTGAACCCATTAGGCAGACCTTCGTGGGGTCTCATCGTCCAGCGCACTTCCGAGTCGTCTACTCCGATATCAGAAACCGCGAAGTCAGTCAAGTTTGTTCGACGCCTGCGGTTGATTGCCCTTGCTCTCAGCGTTGACGCTCTTTGGCTTTTGCCGAATGCATTGTTGAGTCTATGTAGAGAGATTCCAACACCGATAGACTTGGCACAGGCCCTCCTTCCCGACGACTCAGAGTCAGAGAGTCATGATGAGTCAATATCCGGCTCATTGAACCGTTTCCTCCCGAAGCCATTTGTGGCTCGACTTCTCCATGGTTACGGCGCGCTCCAGCATGATCCCTTCGACCTCATAGCGTACCTAACCGACCCGATGGACATCGAAGGCTGCGAAGACCCCTCCAGATGCTTCCGTTCTCGCGTGCAGACGGCGCACCGAGCCCACCGCCGAATATCCCAGCACCCTTTAACGGCCCTCCATTCAAGCACTCCTCGCAGCTGGGAGCGTGTGCTGTCACGACTCTGTCCTGTGTGTGGCACTTCGCTCACAGAAGCCCGCAAAGCGGCCAGGCAGCGTGCTTGGGATAAGCTTCCGGTCGATTTTGGGCTCCCACCATGGCCTGAGCTGGAGCGGATGAAGGCAGAAGCGTCGGGACCGAATTTGTTCTGTTAATTGAACTTGTACTTAGCAGGTCGCGAGCATGTACAATTGTATCGTTAATGTTATATTAGCAATCGAATATGAGGTTCAATGAAAGCTTAAGCGACCAGTTAAATTTGACAGTACTGTAACAATGGAACATGAATATGAGTAGAGGTACAATTTCTGGGGTATTGAGTCTAGATCTACCGTTCAAGCTCTCCAGCTGGATACTTCAATTCGTCAAATGACCTCACTGGATCGTTCTTCGAGGACTGCTGCGTCCTTCTGAAACTTCTTTTTCAGTATACCCACCCACCCATTTCGTCCGTGATGCGTTGGATCTCGGCGAAATATAGCGGTTCAACCATCGGTTGTACTACGTTGCATTCTACGAGATGGTTAAGCCTCGAGAAATACTGATTGCTAGCGAATCGTAAAGGCATCGGCATCGAAATCCTGTTATCATGATCCTGGGGGTCTCCGTTAGAATCCGAATCATCCTCGTCCTGCGGCCCGCATGCGACGTCCAACACATGTAGCTGCATCCTTCCCTCGCTCTCCCGAACCCGGTCAATGACATCAGTAAACAGCTCTCGGATTCGGGTTGCTTCGTCAGAAGCAAGATCCACGATCTTTAGCTGGGGCCGTTCCGTGACGTTGAGGAAGGTGAAATGGATATAGATCTCGTGGAAGGGGGTCCCGTGCATCTGCCTGAACCTCGCAAGTGAAAGCGAGAGGCTGTACCGGTACTGGGAGAACGAACAGGTCATCAAAGCGCGAAAGAACGAGAGATCGGGGCGTATAAACAAGTGCCGGTATTCTAAAGCAACGTCAAACTTGAACTGGCAGGAATTATGTGAGAATGCTCAAGTACCGAGATTCCGTGGCGCAAGCAGCTTGCATCGTTCTCGGTGAGAGCTCCGCCAGTCCGCACGTTGGCATGCTAGCCCGCAATAGAGCGTGTCCAAGCATTGAGAACACTGCTTAAGTTGTGTTCGGGGAAGCAGTTTATTACACTGCTAAAAAGATCAGCAAAATAATCACACCGGGATCGGATGAAAAATCAGACCGCAAGGTTATCGCACGCTCGGAAACGAGTCACTGCTGAGTCAGAACTCTTGTATTCAGCAATGGTGAACAACTGGTTGACGTGGTGGCGAAGAAGGTGCCAGACGTGAAGTAGTTCTGGGTCGAATATCTGGGACAAATATTCGTCCAAATCGGAGCGGAGAGCATAAACGTCAATAAAGGCATCTCTCAACGCCGCCAGTACCGAATAGTAGAAGCTATATGCGGGGAGCGTGAGTCCTAACAGCCGCTTTACTTTGTCTGTATGATCGGAGAAACAGCCTGGGCCAAGGACATCGTTCTCGTTGATGATACTTGTAGAGACTGCACTAGCATCCTGCATGAGCTTGGTGTTAACGCAGAGGCAAATCAGGCTATGGAGAAGTCCAGCGTCAAGAGCCTCGACTATCATCCAGCGGTGATCAAGTCCTGGTTCGGTGATTAATTTGGAGAGAAAAATGAAAACCCAACTTGGACCTAGTAGGCGCCAGCGACGAAGCACTGGCAGTGTACTATGATCAAACGTTGTGTCAGTGGGTACACCAGCATCCGGTTCGAAGGCTTCGGCTCTGATTGCTGCGACGAGCGCTGGAATCACGCCAGCCGCAAGGAGGTGGTGGGCGAATGACGGTTCGATCGAGTTGCCAAAGCACATTAGGTGGCCAAAAACGTAAAGGGCCCCGATCATAGTGATCACGTCCGGAATAGGCTCCGATAAACAAGACCGTTGATTTTGCCCTCTAAGGTATAGATGTGGTTCAGTGGCGGTTCTAGAGATGCTGATAACGAGCATTTCTGCCAATGTTGACAATGTCCCAGCACCAGCGAGAATGCTTTCGAAAGTCTTGTGTATCACCAAATCAACATTGACTCTAGCATTAGCGATGTCTCGGATTCTCTCCAAGGGGATCACCACAAGCAGGTCACTGAGGTACGGAAACGGTGCTTCCCCACGAGTAAGAGAATCAGAGTATTGCTTAAAGGTCAGACGGCGCCACAAGCTCCCCACCAAGACGAAGAGTTCGCTCTTATCTAGTAAGTCCTGGAAGAAAGCTGGATCTGCATATTCTGCGATGATGCCGAGCACCCTCAAGAGCACCACTTCCTGACCGCCGTCCACGTAGAACGCCGGTATTTGTTCCCAGAGCCCATCGAGAAAGAGTACCCATGCCAGGATACGGGGCCAGATCTCCGGAGTAGCGTCTTTGGGAGCGACCCCGCGAGCGATTGACGTCCCCATTCCCTGAAAACACTTCAAAACCACAAAAATCTGCCGCTTCAACGCGTGGCGTTGGGTTTCAGCAAGGTCGAGGGAGGTGGGGATGTTGCATTCGTCGAGAGCATGATATAACACCGGTAGGACGAGAAGTCGTTGAGCGTCGGGCAGCTTGTCGTAGCGCAATGTCAGGGCAAGCATGCTTTCGAACTTGAATGAGTCTTGGACTGCAGCTTCTGCATATCTCTGCGACAAATTTCACTAGTTTTTTCAAGAAAAAGAGGAATACTCACCCTGATTCCGGCGGGCAGGCGCTGAATGTTGGATATGTCGAGGCAGGGATGCATGCACAACTACTAGTAGTAAATGGGCTGAGAGCGCTGATTCAGCCGAAAAGTTGATTTACTTGATAGTTTATAGCGATATCTGAGTTTGATCAAGCTAGCGATTGTGAGAAAGCAGCAGCGAATGTCTAGTCGATTGGTTGAGTGAAGGATAAGCTGTCACAGTATCGTCACAATGTGACTACAATGTGACTGGACCACCTGTACCACCTGTACTGTGACAGCTCCTTTGAACGAGATCGACCACGCATTATCATTCATGTTCGGGCTTAGAGTTTACTTATCATTTCACAGGTAGGTAGGTTACTATCAGAGGATACTCTGCACTATAGCTAAGAGAAATAAGACCAGTGTCAATGACTGGCGAAAAAGTATACGTATCATAGTATGTACTGATGCTCAAGTTGCCGTCGACAGGCCCAGCATACTCCGTCTTTGCGTCTTCAAATAATCCCAGGAAGGAAGGTTGAAGAACAATGGGAGCATATCCCAGACACGGCCGTGCTTGTTGACGTGTGCCACAACGTCTGACCATGCACCCACAAGGCCATCGCGGAAACGGAGTATCTGTCGCAGAGCAGGTCCGTCGACACTTTCGTCGGGAACGTTGATCACTGGCAGTATGTGGATTGGCAAGCTGCAGAGCCTGTAGTGGGCAATTGGAAGGAGCCATATTGCGCCAACTAAAGTTAAGGCTTTGATGACGACCGACAAATGAAAAGGGGATTTCGATAGCACGGTAGGGACAGCGTTATCGGAGTCGGAGGCAATACGATCGTTCCTTGCGGCGCCTCGTGAGATGCGGAGAGGCTGTCGAAGAAGAGGGAACGATCCAAGTGGCTCAGTGCGCGTTTGAAGAGATAATCAACGTCGTATTTTTGAGAGAGCCGTAAGATTCCAAGGAGGTGGAGGATGCCGACGCTGCATGGCGGCGGCATGAAGAAACTAGCCAAACAGCTCAGAATTGACTTTTACAACAAGCAACAGAAGTAATTGACGCACCTTGAGTCGTAGATGGCTGTAAATCATCGGGAAGGTCAACTAGAGGGCACCCATCGATTGTCTCCACACCGCTCGTCGCCTGCGGAAATGCCAGCATGTCTCGAAAAACGCTGGAGCGCGCAGAAAGGACAGAGCGATGCACCTTGAGTAATGTCTTTTGAACCCTGACAATGAGACCTGCATCATCAAACCACAAGGCTGACACACGCACCCGTCGTCGACAACGCTCATGATGGGTGAGCGAAGAAGGAGGAAGATGTGTGACCCTTGCTCACGTGGCATGACTGATCGCTCAGGGAGTGGCAGTGTCCTGATAATTTCTCTTCTATCGATGAACGGCGACGACGGCGAGAGGCCTCACCGTGTCGGAGGTCTCTGGTTTAGCGATGGCGACATTGTTCTGCATGCGGGAAATGCGCAATACCGAGTTTACAGTGTTGTCCTGGCCATGCATTCACCTGTCTTCAAAGATATGCTTGGATTTTCTCAGCCTGCGGAAGCCGAGCGGGTCGAAGGGCAACCTCTGGTGCGATTGACCGACCTGGAGGTTGAAGTCACCCCGTTCCTCAAAGCGTTGTTCGAGCCAGAGTGCGTCATCTGTCTGTTTCATTGACACGACTGGCGTTGCTGATCCAAGACAAAGATTTTTTTTGCCCTTCCCCGCCAAAACCGACTTCGTCACCATTTACGGATGTGTGCGCTTGGGGAACAAATATTGCGTAGACTATCTCAAACGCCGTGGGCTCATACACCTCTCCTCGCAGTTTCCGACCACCCTTGCTCGCTACGATGCGATAGACCCAGATGCGATAGGTCAATTGACTCGTGCCCCGTCGGAGGTTACGAGTTGGGATGTTCCAAATGACCAAGCCTATCTCATTTCCGTCGCCCAACTTGCTCGTGAAGTAGACGCACTATGGCTGCTCCCCCAGGTTTATTATGACATCTGTCGTCACCTTGCGGATTTGGGGGAAGTTTTGGTGCGGGACACCATATTCAATGGCATAACCGCCAGGTTATCAATGAGGGACACGCGCAACATGCTTCTAGGTCTGCAACAACAAACTTCTGCATCCAACTACGTCCTCAGCTTCGCATTCTCTCCCCAACACTTTATAGGATGCAGTTCACCCGACGATTGCGCTCAAGCCAGATTCCGCCTTCTTCCCTCGGTGCTCGGCTTCCTCCATGACTATTCCGCCAATCCATTGGACATATGGACTGCCGAAGAATGGCCTCTGTTTGACGGGCAGGTCTGCCAGGTGTGTTTGGCGGCCATGAAAATAACTCATGACACGGCGCGCCAGGAGATATGGGATGAACTGCCATTATACTACGGGCTGGGTAACGACTGGACCGAACTCGAGAAACACAAGTTGGAGACCATAGGAGATGTGGTGGTTTAATTATAAACGTGCCACCGGTTGGTGATAAGTACTTACAATACTCTCCAGTTACTTACTTTAGGCACTGTAAGTAACTACGTGTAATTCTCATACGACTTGTCGCCTACTTGATCCTGTTGAAGGTGATAATGATCAGACCCAATACTGGTTTGTCTCTTGCCATTATGGAGGTCGACTTGCCCGACACTTCTTACCGCCTCCACCATGTTGAAGACCTTTGGTTTGACGACGGAGACATTGTCTTGCAAGCAGGCGTTGCCCAATACCGTGTATACCGTGTGGTGTTGGGAATGCATTCTCCCGTCTTCAAAGATATGCTTGCATTTCCGCAGCCACCAGACTCAGAGTTGGTAGAAGGACAACCATTGGTGGTGCTTCAAGACCTGGAGGTGGAGGTTACTGCTTTCCTGAGAGCGTTGTTCGAGCCAGAGTGCGTTACTGTCCTTGATTCATGCCACTCTCTCATTCTCATTCTGTAGATTCTTCCCAGCATTCCCGGCTATGACCAACTTCACGACCATCTACGGCTGCATTCGACTGGGTAACAAGTACAGTGTCGACTTTCTGCTACGACGAGGCCTTGTCCACCTCTCGTCACGGTTCATGACCAGCCTCACCCGGTTTGACGCTTCCGCCAGAGGCGACCACGAAGGCCTCTACACCCCTGAATTCACGGAACAAAAGCCGGCCAACGAAATCGTGTCCTGGAAGCCACCACTCGACCGCTCATTCCTCATTTGCGTTATTGCACTCGCGCGCGAAGTCGACGCGCTGTGGATCCTCCCCAACGCATTCTACGACCTCACATTCCACTTTGACGCCCTTCAAGACAATATATTTCACGAGAACCTTTTCGACGGCGTCATACCCGTCGTGCTCAGCCGCAAGGAGCAGCGCGAGTGGGTCGTAGGATTCGAGGACCAGATCTCTACAACGGCAGACATCGTGCGATTCCTGACCTACCCGCCAGTCATCGATGGGTGTCTCACGCCCTCCAAGTGCCCTCTTGTCCGCTTCAGAGCCGCGGACTACGGCCGGCAGATGATTTCGTCGTTCAGTCGCGGACCACTGAGTGCATGGGCGGAAGACGACTGGGATAAGCTCCAGAAACTATGCCCAGTTTGCATGAAGAAGCTGCGAGAGCTTCATCAGGAGGCGAGGAGGACCTTTTGGGAGGATTTACCCGATATATATCGGCTCCCACCATGGACAGAGCTGTTAAAGCTCAAGCAGGCAGTCATTGGCGATATATTAGCGTAGGCCTTGACTCTTTTCCATGCCCACTCACTGTACTGCTAGCTCTACTGTATCCATATTGTCTCCTCACATTTACTAAACAGTCCCGACTTCGAACTCAGTACTTCAATCGACATCTCATCATTTGCAAGTTCAGCCATTGAATTAGGGACTTACATAGAAGTCATCAGACATCTTCCTTCCGTCTATCCACCATGAATGCGCCCAACGACGGTTATACACGCATTCCCGCCTTGTGGTTTCAGGACGGAAACATTGTCATTCGCACCCAGAATACGTTGTGCAAGGTGCACTGCTCGATTCTTTCTCTCCGCTCTGGCGTTTTTCAAGACATGCTGGCCTTCCCGCAAGCCACGGGTGGTGTGGAGACTATGGACGAATGCCCTTTGGTCGATCTGACCGACGAGCCGGACGACGTCGTTGCTCTGCTATGATTATGGGTGTGTTTCTTCATGCTGAGTATTCAAAACTCCTGACCCTCGTCGGCGTTTAGTTACTTTCAGGGACCATCAAAGAAAGTCGACCTCCTGCCCCTCCTCGGCATTCTGCGCCTTTCTCACAAGTATGATGTCGAAAAGCTTCATCGACGAGCCCTGGAGCACTTCGACCATGGAATGTTCTATTCCTCTTATCATGCATTCCTCAAAACTCCGGACTCGGATCTGGGCCCACTGGCACAACAACATACCATCACTGTACCTGATTCCATACCAGCCATAGCATCATCGAGTCCCTGCATAAGGGTTATTCCTACACTGTCCAACTCCCCTATCGCCCTTCTTCTCGCGATCAAAGCCATCACCTCAGTCCAAGCGCAGTGCTTGTTACCGGTAGCGTATTACTGGCTCTGCATCATGCCCATCCAAGATCTGCTTGCAGTTCCGGAGGACATACTCCCCAGGGCGAAGTTGCATTGGATTCTCCAGAAACGTAAGGTTCTGGCAGTCAAACGCGCTAAAATATTGGAGAACATCAACCAATTTGGCTGGAAGGCGGATTGCGAGCAGGTGGAACAGTGTGCTTCAGCACGGATGGAGCTTCTATCCCATCACATTCGTCAAAATGCCCGCGGGGATGATGTATGCCTGTTGCATGCAGTGACTGTAGTCGACTTCGGACGGCAAGCTGGGCTTTGCGCAAGCTGTCTCAAAGGCGTGAATGCATTGTGCAGCGAGGCATTTCACTGGGAGTGGGCGACGCTCCCGGCGCTTTTCGATCTGCCTGACTGGGAAGTTTTGAACCAAGACAGAATCAATGTGTTGGATTTGTTCGACGACGACGATTGGTGAGAAAGGTAAAACTCATTGATTTTTACTGTAAAATATTTGAATCTGTTTTTAAATTCCTCTCATCAGTATATCTCTGGCAAAACTAAGTGCTTATCATCTCTTTTACCCATTTCAACCATTTCAAGGTGAAGTTAGCCCATCCCCACACCGCTACCTGAGGCTTCAAGCTTCAGGAGCGATCAGTCATGTCATATCCGCGTGACAGATCCGAGGTCAGTCACACCGTGTCTCGCTTGCTTTCAAACACCATGGATGCCACAATTTCCAACGAGTATCTGCGCACTGGCGTTGCTGCTTTGTGGCTGGACGACGGCAGCATTGTTCTTCGCGCTCAAAAGACGTTATTCAAGGTTTCCCGCTCGCTGCTTTCCCTTCGCTCGGGCTTTTTTCGTGATATGCTAGCCTCGCCTCAGACTGGCGGCGACGCACAGGTTCTCGACGGTTGCATTATGGTGGATCTTCCAGAGAAAGCGGACGACGTCGAGGCTCTTCTCAGGGCCGTCTTCGATTCGGAGTGAGTTCAGGAGAAGTTGTTTCAACGTTAGCTCTTCACTCAGCCGCGCTGCAGTTACTTCATGCCGCCACCAGCGAAGATCGACCTTATGCCCCTTCTCTCCATTCTCCGTCTCGCTCGCAAATATGACATCCAATATCTCTACAAACGCGCTCTGAGCCACCTCGACCACGTTATGTTCTATGTGTCCCATTCTGCATTCTTGACGGCTCCACGACGAGATACGATAATGATACCTCCATCTATGGTCACCAAACACCTCTTCGTCCAGCCTCTGTCTACGTTGTCCAACTCCCCTGCCGCTCTGCTGATAACTCTCGAGGCAATCAACGCCGTTCAGGCGAAATGGCTGCTACCTATAGCGCACTATTGGCTCTGCACTATGCCCCTCAAACACCTCCTCACGATTCCGGAAGAGACACTCTCCGGTACGCAGCTACGATGGATCTTGCAGAATCGCAAGGCGCTGGCTACCAAACGCGCGAGAATCCTCGAAAACATCAATCAATATGGCTGGGATGCTGAGTGCGGGCAGGCGGGGCAGTGCTCGGTGGCACGAATGAATGTCCTCTCGCATTATATCCGTCGCAATGCTGACGGAGATGATGTCCGCATGCTGAATGGGGTCGACTTTGAGCAGCGCGGGCTTTGCACGCTCTGCCTCCAGAGTGTGGATAAACTGTGTACTGATGCGTTAGAGCAGGCGTGGTCTGCCCTCCCAGCGATGTTTGATGTCTCGGACTGGGGGGATTTAACGGAAGAGCGAAGCCATGTGTTGGATCTGTTGGACTGATTATGAGACCATTTCACTTTCTCTACTCGAACCTTTATATAGTCCTTCTAAGCGCAACCAAGAGAAGATACATTAGTTCCATGATTCAACTGAGTAACTAGCAGAATATATTTGACCCGATAGCATTTGCCTACCTTCATCGCCTCCAGCAACAGTCTGCTGCCAGTGAGCTTCCCCTGGCGAGACAGCTTCACATTATTCACAGAGCGGTGGGACTTGGTGAACTGAAGCTTGCGGAAGGTATGGAAGTGCAGACGAAACGATGGCCAGCATCTATTTTATCAGTCTACGACATATAACTAAATGAATAAATCATCTTTAATAGCATCTACCTTCAATTCCTCCAAGCGCTCCCACGGGGGGAGATTATACATCCCAGGTAAGTTGTCCCAAAACTGCTGTCGAGCGGCCTTATGAGCATCCTGAAGCAAACTGCGGCAATTCGCACACGCCTCGCGAAACAGCCGCCAATCACCCTCGTTCCAGATCCCCAGCGGACTCCGGTGGAAATCCCGACAGCCGACTTTCGTGTTCGCTGCTGCCCGCAAAATCGTGCGCGCGCAGGTGAGCTCGGTCAGGCAGTCATCTGACGGGCCGGATCGGAGGAGCTGGACGATGTCCCATGATGCTTTCATTTGCTTCTCTGACCCTTCGATGAGTGTGCATTGGTCCGAGGCACTGCCAAGCTCTGCTTCGATGCCCTGGAATATCGCGCCATGGAACAGCCTGTCGCTGAGGATGTCGAAATTGGAGGAGAGCGTGTAGAATATTCGCGGTAGGGTCCAGAGGGCTTCCACTTCCCGTGCGAGCTGGAGGCAGCAGATCAGGTAGCTTGAGTCGGTTGGACATGGCCACGACGCGACTTGTGCAGGCAAACGATTGGTTTTCGTGGACTTAAAATCGCCGTAGTCCCATTCGGCAAGCGTGGTTCTGAACTGGGACGTGAAATGGACAAGAGCACAACGACGAAGATCATCGGCACCGTATTTATGCGCGAGTCGGAGACAACCGTAGACAGCGGAGAAGGTCGTGCGAGAAGGAAATGGTGGGAAGAAGCTGGGTTTGTCAAGCGATATGAACCCACAGTCGGCCAATAACACTTACTTGGGTTCGAAAAGCGCTTTCAGAAAGGGCGTAACCTCTACTTCCGCATCAGGCAAATGTACAATCGGACACCCTTCCACCCGCTTCGGGTTCCTTGGTTGAGGAAACGACAGCATGTCGCGAAAAACCGCCGAATGTCGGGCCAGGGTGCCGCGGTAGACCTTGTACTGGGCAGAATCCGTCTGAATGACGAGGTTTCCGTCGTCAAACCAGAGCTCTTGCACACGTCGTAGACAGCTAGGGGAGAGGCGGGCTTGCATTGGTGCTAATGGTGGGGTGGGTGAAGACAGGGAGTTCCGTACTCCACCGCATTGCTGTAAGGATGCTTAAATTTGGTGATATTATCTGGGGCGTGAGCGCGATTCCCGATGACGTCGTCGCCACGTGATGCGATGCGATGCTCTTCCATTTCTTGCATCTGACTTTCGGCTAGATACTCGTGTTGCTGGTAGATACTGCAGATAGTGAAAATTAGTCATAGTATTACCTATTTGGGCCATCCATGTGATATAAAATCTCCATTGTGCTACTGTGCAATGAAATGATAATAGATTCAGCTGGAAATTGGTGTGTGGTTAGATATACATGATACCTTGAAATGGTCCAAGTTTAGAAATTTTCTACAGTATAATTATCAAGTAATTTAATAATTTCATCGAAAATTACAGTTCATGACCTGAATTCCCTGGATAAAAATGCAGGTCTCTGCAGGAATAATTGATTGGCTATTACTGCTATCATCTGTGCATATCCAAGGTAGAAAGGTCCATGGAGCTGTCCACAGGGGAAATAAAACTTAGGAAAGGGTAAATTTATTTCTTTGATTCTATCCTGGTTTTAATTGTGCCTGGAGATATAGAAGGGGTGAAGACACTCAAACTTTGGATATATATTGTCACTTCTACTAGTTCACATACATGTATAGACAATATGAGGGTTGTCCACTTGTTTGTGTATATTTGACAATCACTGGGAACACATCACGGCAGGTTTGCCGTGATGTGACACTGACAATCAGTCACCGAAATAAACCTTTTTTGGATCCAGTATCTGGATCAGTCACGAGAACCGGGGCCGGTGAACGCTCACACCCGGAGAGAAAATACTAAAAAGGAAATTTAGCCGACAGCATCTTGGATGGCGGTTCAAGCGCCCGCAGGCGCCGGAAAAATTTTATAGACATTTGGGAGAGCAATTTTTCAATATTGTATGCCAGATCTGAGATGTATTGTAAGACATATACAATTCCTAGGGAAGCTCTCTTTTTCTCTTTCTCTCTTTCCTTTTTGGGAATTTATTTTTTTCTTCTTTTGGCTACCAACAACACCAGTATCGAGCCACTTTCGGCTAGATACTCGTGTTGCTGGTAGATACTGCAGATAGTGAAAATTAGTCATAGTATTACCTATTTGGGCCATCCATGTGATATAAAATCTCCATTGTGCTACTGTGCAATGAAATGATAATAGATTCAGCTGGAAATTGGTGTGTGGTTAGATATACATGATACCTTGAAATGGTCCAAGTTTAGAAATTTTCTACAGTATAATTATCAAGTAATTTAATAATTTCATCGAAAATTACAGTTCATGACCTGAATTCCCTGGATAAAAATGCAGGTCTCTGCAGGAATAATTGATTGGCTATTACTGCTATCATCTGTGCATATCCAAGGTAGAAAGGTCCATGGAGCTGTCCACAGGGGAAATAAAACTTAGGAAAGGGTAAATTTATTTCTTTGATTCTATCCTGGTTTTAATTGTGCCTGGAGATATAGAAGGGGTGAAGACACTCAAACTTTGGATATATATTGTCACTTCTACTAGTTCACATACATGTATAGACAATATGAGGGTTGTCCACTTGTTTGTGTATATTTGACAATCACTGGGAACACATCACGGCAGGTTTGCCGTGATGTGACACTGACAATCAGTCACCGAAATAAACCTTTTTTGGATCCAGTATCTGGATCAGTCACGAGAACCGGGGCCGGTGAACGCTCACACCCGGAGAGAAAATACTAAAAAGGAAATTTAGCCGACAGCATCTTGGATGGCGGTTCAAGCGCCGCAGGCGCCGGAAAAATTTTATAGACATTTGGGAGAGCAATTTTTCAATATTGTATGCCAGATCTGAGATGTATTGTAAGACATATACAATTCCTAGGGAAGCTCTCTTTTTCTCTTTCTCTCTTTCCTTTTTGGGAATTTATTTTTTTCTTCTTTTGGCTACCAACAACACCAGTATCGAGCCTGACTTTCTTTGGTGTAGCGCGGTCCAAGCCGATGACGGGCCACGTTTTCCCCTCGTGGTGCGCAAAGCCCTCCAGAGAGAGTGTTCGTTGTAGCCCAAGGTGACCGACATCGCAAGCCCCTGGTCCTTCTCCAACGCGAGGAACAATTGAATTTTCGTTCCTGGAGCTGCGTCAATTATCCTTCAGTGCTATAACAGTCGAAATATGCGGTACTTATACTTCTCCCTTCGAGCTATGGTTGAAACGGAAACTGGTTATCTTCCTTGCCAGCGCGACAGTCATTGAGTCAATGGTCATGGTCGCGATGACGTGGTGCGGGGCAAACACGTCACAACAACGCGTCGGTGTCATTACCTAATGCCGACCGATGTGGCAAAAACCACCATGAAAGACGCAATTCGACGCTCGACTTCTTCGAATCTGTTAACCGTTCTTTACCCCCCCCCTTCCCGCTCTCCCTCAATGTCGACCGAGCGCGACCCACTTCTTCCCAAGCCGACTCCCGATGATGCAAAGCAGCGAGTAGGGCCATTGGAAATCTCAGCAGCGACAAGGCGGTGGATCCTGGCTGGGATGTGGTTAGGGACGTTCCTCGGGGTCCGTGACAATATGTCTGCTCTTTTACACCCTCGCTCATCGTCCTTCATGCTAGGCATTGAATCGTGAGTAATCCAGCACCGCCGATTCATATTTTCATCGTTCTTAGTTACTTTAGTCCCAACCAGTGCGCTCCCCACCAACTGCAAAAACTCGTCCTGATAACATCCAGTGATGCCTGCCATCTCCTCTGAGTTTCAAAAATTCCACCAAGCCAGCTGGCTAGGCACCGCGTGAGCTGCAATCCCGCCCCCCGGGTCTTAGAGCTTAACTTCTACAGAAACTTTCTGGCTTCCTGCACATTTACCCCACTCTATGGCCGACTTTGCAACGTTCTGGGCCGCCGGCGGGCCTACCAACTTGCGATAGTCTTGACGGGAGCGGGTGCCGTTGGGTGTGGCCTCGCACAGAGTATGGAGGGCTTGATTGCTGCTCGTTTTGTGCGTGTCTCTATATTGCTCGTGTTTGTTACTGACTTTGACCAGATCGCAGGGATGGGAGGAGGTGGAGTATTCACCGCCTCAACGTATGTTTTTGGACCATCTTCTTCGCTGCGCATTGACTGGCCGCAGAATAATCGTCAGTGACATGTATTCGCTACGGGTGCGTTCTTTGTTGGATCATGCCTCTTCTCGTATTGAACAATCTGGCGCCCGAAGGAGCGTGGTCTAGTACAGGCCCTGGCCAGTGTCTTCAACAGTGTCAGTGGCCCTGATATCTCTTGCCATTGTCCTGCTTATTTGGCCGCTAGTTTGGAATGGGACTTGGTGGGCCCATTGGCGGTCTCATCACCGACTTGTAGGCCTCTTTTTCTTCTTCAGAGTGTTTGGTGTGAATAACTTGTCGTAGGTGGGGGTGGCGCGCAGCCTTTCTTATGCAGATACCACTATTCGTTGCGTCTGCGGTCATTACCCAGGTCAACGTCAATTATGTGACCGATTCGGAGGTAAGCCAAGCTATCCGCCCCTGTCAATACGGCTCATCTGCGAGTAGACCAAATCTAAGAGCACAAAAGCGATATTGAAAAGGATCGACTACTTTGGCAGTCTTTCGCTACTAACATTTGTTGGGGCTTTCGTGCTGTTCTTAAGCTCGCGGTATAACGAGAGTCTGCCGGTAAGCCGTTTGCCGGCACATTTCATGCTGAACCGCGTATTCCATTTCCAGTGGCTCAATCCCCTCGTCTTGGTTCCTCTAGTGATCTCAGCCGTCTTTATGGTCATCTTTGTCGTTGTAGAGCTGTTCGTCGCGCCGGAGCCAGTGATGCCGATGTCTCTCCTCCAACAAAAGATCCCCGTACTGGTTGGCGCGTCTAACTTCTTCGCCAATGCGTGTATCTTTTCGGTCACGTATTTCTTCCCGCTGTGGTTCCAGGTCGTCAAGCTTCAGAGCGCGTCGACAGCGGGTTTGTGTTCGATTTCTATTGAATTGCTGAGGCTGAGCTCAAGGCAGGTTTGCATCTCATGCCCAACAGTGTTTCGCTGTCGCTTGGGTCAATATTTGCGGGTTGGATGATGCACAAGACTGGACGATACAAAACGATTAATGCTATCTTCGGAGCATTCCCCTTCTTTGGAGCGATTTTCATCGCCTCGTTACGCGAAGACTCTGGTTGGGTACAGTCGTGGTTGAGCATTGTGTGTGCATCCCACTCTTCACTCCTTTGTGATTTACTCTTTCAAGGTTCCATTTGGATTCGGCAATGCCGTTGTTCTACAGACCTTGCTCAGTTAGTAATATATCTGGTCTTGATTTTTCGTCACATAAAAACTGATATCTTTGTCTAGTTGCGCTGCTCGCACATCTTCCGCAATCCCAAATGGCGGTAGGAACAGGTTTTGGCCAGCTATTCCGAGGACTGGGTTTGTCTAGATTACGTCGTCTTTTCCGCTCGTATGACTTGTCGGCCAGGGCAGGTCGGCGGGGTAGCTATGGCTTCCGCAGTATTCCAGGCACAGCTCGACAGCGAGCTTCGGAGACGATTCCCGCCTGGCTCTGACGAGGTCAGACCTGATTTCTCCAATTACGTCCGGCTGTTGACCGAACTTGACAGTTGATCATGAACATCCGTCGTTCGAGTGGGTTTCTGCGACAATTGGGCCCCGAAGACCGACGTCTCGCGCGGGACGCGTATGCACTCAGTCTCAAGGCGGTTTACGCACTCGCTGCAGTGTCCACCCTGCTAGCGTATATTGTTCGTATGCCTGTGAGTTCCTGATATGAACTGGCTCCCTTTCTCCTCCTCACATGGTGGCGTAGATTCCAGACCAGGACCTTGATAAAGCGCATGACAAGAAACCGGAGGTGCCCCCTGAGCAGATTGTGCCAGCGCCTGAGCCTCTGCCGGGCGATGTCATTGCAGGCGAAGCTGCCGGCGCGCGACCTGGGAGGAGCGTTGAGGGAAGGGTTTAAGAAGCTAATGAGACAATGAATCGATTGGATACTTGGTCATGTCACAAAACAGACTCGGAAGTCATTGGACGGACACCCTCAATCATGATTCCCTGATAATAACTACTTGGGATACGTTTGGATAGTCAGAATGCCTAAGAGCTCCAGCGGCTCCGGGTGAGGGTGTGATGGGGCCTGAGAAACTTGGAGGACAAGTATTCACGAACTAGTGCCAGTTAGATCGACCAATACGTGCTCATTTTGGATTATGATCTGGTACTAACGACTAAGTACTCTACACTAATGGGTTGAAAGGGAAAAGAAGTTATGGCGCTAGAGGAAAGTGGATCTCCCAGTCACGGGTGTCGATGTATGAGCAGAGATCCGAACACTATGAGACCAAAAAATGCGTGCAATACATACTTAGTCTTATAAGTAGATCTTGGCCATAGTTTGTTCAAGTCCCAAGACCTGGATAACAATATCAGAAGGTCAAGGCATGTCACTTATTACAACAATACAATCCATGGAAAACAAATGACACAACTGGCTATTTAGCACACATCTAATATGGTTCCCGCTGGGTAACGTGGACTTTTGCGTCCAACGGGTTATACGTAACAACGACATTGTGCAGAAAAACATCACCCCTTGGAAATGATGAGCAAAATGACCATATTTGAAACCAAGGAACACTTGCAGGATGAAGATATTCCCATCTCCAGCAGGACCGTTGTCCTGCACCCCCGAAGCACACACCGTTGTCCCATTGGGGCCGCGGAACGGAATCACCATGTCCCGCCCGTCGACAGCAAACTCTTTACCACCGAGCATGACACTGAACGGCGGGGACTGTTTCGTGGCACAATCCACGAGATACAGCCCCAGCTCCTCATTGAAGACAGCCCACGGCGCGTTATACGCCGCAGCGACAGGGGACGGCAGCCAGATGCTCGTCGTGCCGGAGTCGATGATGGTACTGTTGCTCGCTGTGGTAACGTTGTGGCTCCCGGGGAAGTTGTAGCCGTCGACGAGGATGGAGTACCAAATCAGGCGGTAGTCGAGGGCACTCGTATTGAACGACGGCAGGAAAAAGCCGCGAGAGTCCGGAGCGTAGCCCACCACCGACAATGTGGCAGTTGAGTTTGGGCGGGTGGCGACTGGGACAATTCCGCCTAAGGAGAGCTGCCCTAGTTTCGGGATAAACGGGTCGTTCTTCTTCTGCTCGAATGTCGGACGGTCGAGGGAATGAGAGAAAACTGAGATGGATTAGGTACATTGATCGGATTTCTTTAGAATTAGCACTTGCATGGATTTTTCACCTTCCTTTGCTTGACCGCGTTCACGAAGAACGGGTCGTAGAGAAGATGGTCCGTGTCGTTGTAGACACTGGTTGCACCCGCAAATCCGAGCCCCAACACTCCTTCGGACACACCATCACCCAGGAATGCGTTGTGGTTAGGCACGCCGAACTCCTGCTTGGTGACAGACACACCACCAACAGAAAGCGTGTCGAACCCGACTGGCCCAGAAAGCTTCTCGCCAGACCCATATTGGACGAAGAAGGTAGTGTTGGGGACCGTTTGGAAGGTAGAGGAAAGCGCAGGATCGAATTGGGCTGGTCCGAAGTTGCAGTCAGCAGTCGGAATGGAAGTCCCGTTGAGAGCGAAGCAACTGAAGTTCTTGTAGGAAGCCCAAAAGTCCGCGCTGAAGAAGGGTAAGAAAAGGGAGGGGATAGAAAACGGGGAAAAGGCGACCTTCCGGTGTCCAGGATAACTTGGAAGTCTTGTCCGCCAACTGTCACATTAACCAAATATTCGGTCTCGAACGATGCTCCGTCAAGCACTGAGAGATCTCCACCACGATGGCGAGGTCCTGTGTGTGTTCGGCGATGAGTGGCTTGTCTAAGGCGCTTTGCAACAAGCGGGATGGTGATGTCGGCCCGGGGGAGATGAGGATTCGCAGTTGTAGCGGCAACGAGGGAAGCGATGAGGCCACATGCGAGCCAAGAGCTCGACAAAAACATGCTGGGTTGTTGCTCCAAGAGTTGGCTTGTTCTTTCTTATACGCCCACCCGCCAGGATACTAGTAGCCGAATTGACTTTACAGCAGTGGTCATTTGCTCTTGACAACGTCCAGCGGGAGTCGGGAAAGCTGTGAAGAGCTGTTACGCGCTCGTTGACAGTGCGTGCGTTGCGCCAATAGCGGCGACTATTGGCCGCAATCGTATTTATTGCGGTGAGCTTCGATTTCGGCATCAAGTACATCGGTCCAGCAGAATCGTCTCCTCCCCATCTTCTTGAGCGTCTGGAGTAGATGATGGCGTTTGGAGGAAATTTCTTTCCTATATCAAGGTCGTAGGGCATGTACCTGGTTACTAGACGACATTAGCATCTTGAAATGCGACAAGTGAGCAGACACACCTTTACAAATTGGGCGTTTTAGCTTCCTGTCTCCCTTTATCACCCGCCCACATTTCCCTGCTCCCCGGAGGCAATAGTTCCTGTTGAAGGTCGTACGACTAGATAGCATTTCAGTCGTCCGGGCTCCTTATCCATTGGGCGGTCGAAGTGGGTGAGGTGAGCAATGATTCGTGAATGCTGCAGCATCATCGGTGAAATGTTCAGGACAGACAGTTTTCTACGTAGCCTTGAAGAGAGCGAATGAGGATACCTGAAAACAAGGAACAGGGCTGATTACGCACCCGTACGGACGTCCATTTGTTTTTTGCTCCTTATATATTGCAGCATGAGTCGCAGTCGTACTTTAACAGGAGCTAGACGAGTAATCGAGCGTTCACTATCAGGAAAATTCAGTCTATGAGTTCTTCGAGGAGAATTCGAAGTGGGGGTGTCTCACGTGTGACCGTGACGTGACGTCTTTCCCTCATGCTCTAAAACTATCATTCTCTTCCTGCTGGATTCGAGGCCGACGGAGCCGTTTTTCCTTCATCAAGCCTAAATCTCCCAAACAACCTACTCTCGGTCGATTGCTAGCCCGCGTTGTGAGCCACCGGCAGGAATCCGCAGGATGCATTCATGCCTCAAACTATCGAATATTTCACGTCTACCCGCCCATATCCGCGTAAGATCTCAAATTCGTCGCCTTTCATGAACTCAAAACATTGTAGAACCACGCGAAGTCCGCTGCCAATGGATCTGTGGCGAGCATGCACGCCCTTCGACGTTTATACTTCGACTCAGGCTCCCAGATGATTTCTCCCCAGCAGCTGCTTTTTCTTGCCCCCGTTTTCTATCGGCAGCTGAACTCCTCAACGACTCCTGAACTGCAAAGTCTCGTGGAAATGGACCCTCGTGTCGCGAAGGAACAGATCTTCCGTGTCTTGTGGTCCCTGCAGGGATTGAGCTATCTGTTCTGCTTCCAACCTTTCCCCAACGGTGTTATTCCAGAGATCTGGCCACGCATCTGGACTTGGGTGACGCTTTTAGACGCCTTCTGGGAAGAGATGCCTTCGTTCCACGTACAAGAGGAGCAAGAGCATACCCTCATTACGATTCTCAGTTGCATCCTCAACCGAAAGGACTCGGAGCACGCCTTTAGGGCTGATCTAGTTAACAACGACAATATTTTCGTCGTTGCGGGGAGCATTTGGCGCCGACTCGCACTCAAGCAAGACGCGAAACCGACTCTGAGCGTTCAAATTCCATACTTTTGGGAGTTGTCTATGTTCTGTACAGTGATTGTGCATATCGGGGTTCACGGGACGAAGGACTTGAAGAATGTTTTTGAAAGCATAGCTTCCGGCGCTGGAAACTGGAGAGCACTAGCGCATATGCTTGTCGTCACAGTACGGCATGTTTCTGACTCTACTCCCGAGCAAAGATATTGGAGGACTCAGAATACTAGTATGGGGGACGACTTGCACCGCAGTTCATGTTTCACATCACTCAGCATATTCTGCATCATGATGGATTTGGCGCAGACGGCGAATCCAACCTTCACAGAGGATCTCCGTCAAGTTGGCGCTGTCGGTGCATTGACAACAGCGCTTCTCCGTCACTCTCGATGGGCTCAGTCTCCCGTTCAAGTTGACATAAGCCACGAATTGCCCGAGTTTGCCTGGGGTCTTCCATCACTCCATTTGATTTTGAAGAGCCTAGAGCCTGAGTATAATCTCAGATACCGCGGCGCGCCGCCAACCGCCGACCCGTCCTTCCTCTTCTCGTTTCTTTATCGGTTAATCATCAAGCCAGGAACAGCACGCCGTTGGGTAATCGAGGGTTTAAACGCTGGACTGCTCCATGTTTTACTATTCAGTGACGATTTCAGACTCGAAATGCCGGCGCACTGGCAGCTCGAGCCTGTGGACTCTCCAAATCTTCCCAACCACCACGAGTTGGACTGCCAGTGCCTCAGGCTACAGCACAATGCCGAGCTTAAACTTAGAATTGAGCTTGACACTACAGAAAAGGTGAGGAGCTTACTCAAGCTTACGCTGCCTGCATACAGCTATTATCATTCGGTCCTTGTCGCGTTGAAGAGAGGGTTTGACGACATCGATTCTGTTGGCGTCCGCCTGCCGCCGGGCCGGATTTTACAGCCTGAATTTGTTAGGTTGTGGCATGCCCTCAAGCGGCATGTCAATGGACTGCTCGGCATTGCGGGACACCGTAAAAGTTCTCCATCCGCGTCAACTAACTTCAGAGCCTGTGACAATCTTACCGTATGTTTTTCGCTCGTTCTTACTACTGCCAGAGCATGCGCTGATTCCCGTCCTTCGAATAGTGCAATAAAATCATGGCCAAGACACGCTTCAAACGGTGTCCACAGTGTTCGCGCAGTCTGTACTGCGACAGAACGTGTCAACGCTCCGACTGGAAACGGTTTCATCGAGTACAATGTCAGCTGCTCAAGGCGCGTGATTATCGTATGTGACCTTTTATATGGCCCTCAGACTGTCTCTGGCTATCGAGCTAAGCACAAGTAGATTATCGCCGCCTATTCACAGACGCCGATCGCTCATTCTTCCGGGCCCTGATGAGTTCTTGGTTCTATGCGCTCAGGTACAGGCTCTCGTTGACGCTTGCGGGGTACAAAGCAGCGTTCCCAGCAGTTCCGATGAGCGACATATGTGTCGTGTTCACATTCATGAACACGACAAGTCAGCCATCTATTCGTCTCATAAGCACTGTGTCAAGCACCCCGGGAGCCGCAGACATCCGGGAGCAATTTCCTGATGTCATCCACCGGGTTCAACAGAGCGGGGGGACGATGCAGCTGCATGTTCTGGAGGTGACGCTGGGCTGCCAGACCGAACACCAGGACACACTGGGCCCCGAAGGCGAGGCAGCAATTAATAATGCGATTTTGGTGCCGATGCCGCTACGACTAGCCAACCGCGAGTATCTTTCGAGGCTATCCATGGTTGCCAACCCGGCTGTGCGTGACCGATTGCCAGTGGGCCAGCGCTACACGGCGATTGTCCATCATATTGTCGATACGATGGGTGCATGGGTGTATTGACACGAGGGGAGAGGCCTAGATCAGACAAGTAGACATAAATTGAAAGTGAGACTTTCTATTGAAGTGTGTGAAGGATAAAAAAACTTGAAGCTCAGTCTTGATGCATTAGATAGCCAGGCGTATCTGATTGAGTTGCGCGAGCAGGACAGAGGGAACGTAAACCACGTTCCCGGCGATAGGTCAATGAAGAAGCCCATATATTGGAGAAGCTGAAGCTCTGCACTAATACTGTAGTACGAAACCCAAAAGGTCAGAGCTGGAAGATGATGAGAAGAATGAAAGCGATGTCAAAAACCACTTGGAACTCTTGTCCGCCAACTATTTTGTTGACCAGATACTTGGCCTCGAAAGACGCCCCGCCAAGTGCTAAAACGTTGTCTCCACAGTGACGATGCTAGCATGTATTCGATTCGGCGGCGACTTCAGATAAGGGAGGTAGTGATATCTGCCAGCTGGGGCGAAGCATCGCAGTCGTGGGGCAATGAGGGAAGCGAGCAGACCCGCGAGCTAAGTGTCGCTGTTCCTTGCTCTATGTACAATTTGCCACGACATCCGGCGGGTAAGGGAGGGAGTTGGGAAAGCCGTGAAGAGCTATTGCGCGCTCCAAGGGCGGCGACGATTGACCGGTCGCAACTGTTATGGACTTCGATTTCGGCATTGAGTCGGGAGGTCGTCTCTTCCTCACCTCGACAAGGGCTCGGGGGTTGATGATTTCTGGACTCGTCCATCACATCCTGTTTCAAAGGCTTGGGAGAAACAATGAGACTGGAAAATGCGGCAAGCGAATTGGCACACCTTGACTTCAGAACAACTGCGTTCAGAATCATCGCCCTGTGCAGCTCCTGTCAGCTTACAGGATCCCGTGAAATCCCCTCAAGTTCCCTTCATTTCCTCTTGGCCCACCACCGTCTTTCCCGCAGAAACAAGGAATCGATTTGGACGTATGCCATCTGACGGAATACATAGGCAGTTAGAACGTTGGGTATCTCGGACCCTTTTCGCGCCAAATAGATTTTGGTAGGAGTACTACTAGTAGACTACGTAGTCTTGAAGTATCACCAGTTGAGTCTTAGCAAATGATATGAGCAAGACGAAGAAAGACTCGGAAGAGTGATATATACGTACTAGAAAATCCACTCGCACCGAAAACTTGAATGCAGCTCGTGCTACCAAACGACTGGCGCAGTTGCGACGAGCATGAGTGGAGTTGGCGGATATAATACTCCGCAAGTTTGGAGGTCGACGCCGAGGGCGTGTATAGGCCGATTTCGATGGGAGTTAGAACAAACAGGGCTTTGGCTCGAATGACGATGGGAATGGGAACATGACTAGCTTTTGAGATTTGCACGTGCACCTTCCGAATTTGACGCCGACGACCACCACCTCAAGCACAAATTCACCGACAAATCAGGGACTGAGCGTGATGAACGAGCACTCGACGTCTCGAACCTGAATCAATGTAGGCGGCGACATTGACATTCAAGTTTCTGGCGCCGGTGCCGGACATTGAAGGAAGGATTGCACACAACCCCTTAGCCTCCCTGGACGCGTCCCTGGGAAATAAATACATACGGCAATTGCTCACCCCGAGAAGGCACTACAGGCGACAGCGGCGAGTTTGGTGCTTACTTTCGTACTCTATCGTGTTTTCATGTTTTCTAGCGTCCCCTCCTCTTGGAATTCCCAGTGACTGCAAGCAACGCGGTTGCTTCTTATCGGCAGATCTCATTCAATTTATTTTGAGGAAGACTGAGGAAGTGTACAAGGCGGCTTCGAGTGTTATATTCCACGTCCCGAGTAGTGTCGCGCCAAACACCATTCGACCTGTCGCTCCGGAGACATGAAGCCCCACCCAACCCATTTGGATGCGTTTGGCAAAAGCCGCCATTAAAGAGTCAAGACTTACAATCGTTCTTTCGCTTCGGTTCTTGTTGCTTAACACACTCCCTTCCCCTCTCCTCTCCTTCTATGTCGACAGAACGCGACCCACTCATTCCCAAGCCGACTCACTTCGAAGATGGCGCGAAGCAGCAAGTAGGGCCGCTGGAGATTTCGCCAGCAACTAGGCGGTGGATTCTGGCGGGGATGTGGATGGGGACATTCCTTGGGGTGTGTTTTCATATGCCTTCGCTTTCTCCTTCATCACTGAGTATCCTTCACGTTAGGCACTAAATCGTGAGCTCATCCAGCACATTCCGAGCCATTCCATTCTAACACTGTCTTTTTTAGTTACTCTAGTCCCAACTAGTGAGCACTTAAACTGGCTCCATTCTACTCATCTAATACGCTCCTCAGTGATGCCTGCAATCGCCTCCGACTTTCAGAAATTCAATCAGGCCAGCTGGCTTGGCACTGCGTGAGTTGTGACCTGCCATCTCTGGAAGCGCTCACAACTGTAACGTTGTTTAGAAGCTTCCTCGCTTTTTGCACCTTTACACCTCTCTATGGTCGGCTTTGCAACGCTCTTGGCCGTCGACGGGCATATCAGCTTGCGATTGGCTTGACCGGAGCCGGTACCCTTGGTTGTGGGCTCGCACCGAATATGGGGGGCATGATTGTCGCGCGTTTCGTGCGTCCGCTTTTTTGGCGTACCGGATTCCTCGCTTTGAAGCTGACTTGATCTAGGTTGTGGGAATGGGAGTAGGCGGGGTATTTACGGCTTCAACGTGCGTTTCCAGAAATCTCTATTCTATCATTCATTGACAACCCTCTGCAGCGTCATCGTCAGTGACATGTATTCGCTGCGGGTGCGCGTTTTGTGTCCATGTAGTCATTCCCATCTCACCTCGAAAGGAACGTGGCCTTGTGCAAGGTCTTGCAAGTGTATTCAACAGCGTCAGTTAATGTGTTTTTCGCCGAGCATTTTGCTTAACAGGGCCACAGTTAGGACTAGGGCTTGGTGGGCCGATTGGGGGCCTCATCACCGACTTGTGAGTTCTTCTCTTTGGAGAGCTGCCGCGTCGTAACTCTCGTGGTAGATGGGGCTGGCGCGCAGCCTTTCTAGTTCAGATTCCCTTATTCGTTGCATCTACACTTATCGCACAACTCAACATCAAATATGTGACTGAGTCAGAGGTGAGCTTGGTCGCTGTACCCCGGATACAGCTAATCAGCGCCTAGACTAAATCCAAAGGCACCAAGGAGATATTAAAGAGAATCGACTACTTTGGCAGCCTTTCGCTGCTCACATTCGTTGGAGGATTGGTGCTGTTTTTGAGTTCCAAATATAATGAGAGCCTACCAGTGAGTGACGCGGTCTTGAGAGCTCCATGGCTTAATTCTCTTCCCAGTGGCTCCATCCGCTCGTTCTTATCCCTCTTGTAATTGCCGCCATTTTCGTGGTGGTCTTTGTTGTTGTCGAACTGTTTGTCGCGGTAGAGCCCGTAATGCCGATATCCCTCCTGCAGCAGAAGATTCCGGTGCTTGTTGGCGCGTCAAACTTCTTCGCCAATGGCTGCATTTTCGCCGTGACCTACTTCTTCCCGCTGTGGTTCCAGGTCGTCAAGCTGCAGAGCGCTTCAACAGCTGGTTTGGCATTTACTTGGGACACATGAATGCGGAGACTGACAGCGTCGCAGGGTTACATCTTATGCCCAACAGCATTTCCCTTTCGCTTGGGTCGATATTTGCAGGCTGGATGATGCATAAAACTGGCCGATATAAAGCAATCAACGCTATCTTCGGCGCGTTCCCCTTCATTGGGGCCAGTTTCATCGCTTCATTGCGCGAGGATTCGGGATGGGTGCAGTCGTGGTTGAGCATCGTTCGTCCATGCGACTATCCACTTCTTGTGATTCACGTTGGTTAGGTCCCTTTCGGATTCGGCAATGCTGTTGTCTTGCAAACCCTACTCAGTGAGGATTTAGTATTTACACGTTGCAGAGACACTAAATCTAATATCTTTGTCTAGTTGCCCTCTTCGCACATCTCCCACCATCACAAATGGCTATCGGAGCAGGCTTTGGGCAGCTGTTCCGTGGGTTAGGTGCGTGTATGTCGTCAGGTATTGCCGTTGAGCTCACTTTCTGTTTCAGGCATGGTGGGAGGCGTCGCCATCTCTTCCGCCGTCTTTCAAGGCCGCCTTGATGTCGAGCTCCACAACCGATTCCCGCCCGGCTCTGATGAGGTCCGGTTCGCTCTGGAACATTAGCATTCTATCTGACCTTTAAACAGCTGATCATGAACATCCGTCGCTCGAGCGAGTTCATGCGTCAGTTGGCCCCCGATGACCTGCGTCTTGCGCGCGACGCGTATGCCATCAGCCTCAAAGCCGTTTATGTACTCGCTGCGGTGTCCACACTGCTGGCGTATATCGTCCGTTTGCCGGTTAGTCCTCGATTGATAATCGAATTCTGCCCGTTGCTTATGTCGTTGGGGGTAGATTCCGGACCAAGACCTTGATGAGGCGCACAAGAACAAAACCGGCAAAGCGCCGGTGCCGCAAAGCGGAGAGTCTGAACCGCTCTCGACCGACGTGGCAGTACCAGAAAATCCTAGTGTACGGAGCGCTGAGGAAAGGGTTTAGTTATCGGGATTCAGCTATTCGATGGACTATGGCGCGTGTAATTATAGATCTACAATACTTACTTGTTACAGTTACTTACCAACCTGATTGCAATGCGTTTCGTTATAGAAGGCCAGATCATTGGCTATGTGAAGGTGGTTAGAAGCAAATTAAGTATTTATGTAGAAGGACGGGATGCGTAGATAAGGTAGTGATAGACGGCTGCTCTCAACCTCAGGCTGAGGAGGATCTCAGCCCAGAGTATATAATCCAGTATAAGTATAGTATTTTGAGAGTAAACCGCCCGGGCCAAATCATGCACATGCTAAGTACTTACTATTATTATGTACAAGTAAGGAATTATACTTAGGCCCGACTACCCACTTACCTGATATACCAGTTATATCCTCCTAGTGCTTTCCCTGGCTGGCCAGCAGTTTTTTACCCCTCGCTTCAACGGCGAAAGGTTTTGAAAGAAACGATAAAACACGTGACATCTCAGATTCCGTGATCCGCTGTGACTAAGTGCTGTACTTCTCTTTCCGCTTTGACGAGCACCGACAGGCTGAGGGACCCTTCATTCGCGCGTTGCCTCCCAAGCAATATCCTGCCTAGCACGACAAGCGTGCCGATTAAGACCGGCAGATGAGCAGGGCCAGCGCACCACCTCCGCCACGCAGACCCCTGGGAGAAAATTAGCCTCATGGCGCAGACGCAGATGAAGGACCGGGCGGCGGACACCCTAGCTCAGTTTGGTCATGGGTGCAAATCCTTGCTGAGCGCGTTGACGACAAGAACAGGGCGTCCCGCCCGTCTTCCCCGAAGTTCCGCTTCATAGACAGAATGCATTGGCTCAGCATGACTAGCCTTAGGCCGTACGTTGTTTATCGTTGGTCTCTTTCCTATATTCAAAGATGCTTTAAGGTTCCCGTCAAGGCCCCACCTGACCTCAGAGTCGGGCGGAGAAAGCTGACCATTCGTGCTTGATCGATAACGGTCCGTATTGGCCGGCCGAATGGTCAAGCCAAAGGGCTTTGCGCAGCTCCACTGCCTGCATGCTGTATAATAAGCGGCTGCCCCGCACTCTTTCACTTCTCGCGCCGCATCTCTCTCGTCATGCTCCTAGTGGACCGCGACCAAGGCCCGGGAGTCGATGGCCGGGACATTCACCTCCTGAAGATTTTCTTCCTCAGGCTTGCGGCTGCAGCGGTGAGCTATGGTGTGTCTCACCGTCTTCCAAGCTGTGGACCAGAAAGCTTACCCAGTTGAATTAGGCATATTCTTCTGCGTCGGGACTTCGTCGTTGTACTCGTTAATGTGCGTCAATTGTTTTCAAGCTCTCTATATAATCTTTCTTACTAGCTTCTTCAGACGGCGAGGGCTTTCGTGCCAACGCGCGCGGAAGATTCTAATCGGTTTCACGATAACCATGTTGGTCGCCGCGACAGCACATCTGGGCCTATACATGGGCCAAATACTCCTTCAGTTCCCTAGCCTCGCCGCCGAATACGTTAACCGATCCGCCCTTCTCAGGCGGCTGACAATAACGCAAACCTGTCTCCGCCGCCTGACGTACTTTCAAAGCGACATCATCGTGGTCTGGCGCGCATGGGCCATCTGGGAGGGAAACATCTACGTCCACATCATCCTTGCACTATGCATCGTCGCTACCGGGGCCACCTCGCTCACTGTGCTCGTATTCAACTTTAAATCGACCTTCGACGGGGTCAGATATACGCGCGACACTCAGAACTTCCTCGGCACGTTCAGCCTGCTGGTGACGAACTTTACTGCGACGGCGTTTATCGGGTGGAAGCTATGGTACTACAGGAAGAACATCAAGAAGTACATCAACCGTTCGAAGAAGGGGCATACGCGGGTCGAGAGCATCATGATATTGCTCATGGAGAGCGGCGGGTTGTACTGCATCTTCTGGGTGTGTATTTCTATCCACCTCCCTCTGCTACCCTCACAACGCAACGCCAGATTCTCCTCATGATCGGCGACTACGGGTACTTCGGACCGGATTTCGGCCTGGAGTGGTTTCAACCCAACATCTCGGGGCTGTACCCCACCATTATCATCTTCATGGTCTCGCGCCAGATGATGATCAGCGAGGAGGTGTTCTCTTTCGGCTCCGACTCGTTTGCTGCCTCGAGCGCAGGCGTCCAGGCGACAGTCTGGATTCCCGCGCAGCGACAGTCGTACCCGGCGACTGAGCTGTCGGACGACGCATTGGAGCTGGCCAAGTCGGATGTTGCTCCGTAGGGCCATGGAAGTTGCATTCGTTTGGACTGGAGGGGAAGAACTGCATGTGTATAATGTTGCTTGTACTGTGAATAAAGGCCCTTTTTTGACCTTTTTGACGATCAGCAGTGACCAGTCACACTCTTTTTCTTGCTCGACTCCTAACATGGATATCCAAAACGCGCCCCAAGAGCCTCACCGCGTCGAGGAGCTCTGGTTCCAGGACGGTAATATCGTCCTCCAGGCCGGCTTTGCGCAGTACAAGGTCTATCGCGGCATCCTGGCTGGCCAATCCGCCGTATTCAGCGACATGCTCTCCTTTCCGCAGCCACTTCAGCCAGGCGACATGCTGGATGGATGTCCGCTGGTGCACCTCCAAGATGCAGAAGCGGAAGTCACGCTGTTTCTGAGAGCTCTTTTCGAGCCTTTGTGCGTCATGCTACCGATAGGGGCTTTTACGCTAAAAATTTGCCTAGCTACTTTCGCGCGTTCCCAGCAAAGACAGAGCTTCAGGTTGTCATCAGCTGTGCACGTCTGAGCCACAAATATAATGTTCCGCTTCTCCGTCGCCTTTCGCTGGGACATCTGGCGTCCATGCTGCACACGCGGCTCGGTGAATGGGACTCCTGTAACGATACTGGCCATGATTCGAAGGAACCAATCATATTCACCGGTCCTGGACATAATGTTACTGCCACCTCCTGGGACTGGTCCAACGATTCCAGCTGTCTCATCGCTTTGATCCCACTCGCTCGGGAGATAGAGGCACCGTGGCTGCTGCCAAGCTTATTCTATCGAACGGCCGCCTTGTTCGAGAATTTAGGCATGTCTGTCTTCAACGGCACAACCTTTCACGGCGTCTCTGTCAGACTCGACAGCCGAGACCAAGAAAACGTCCTTTTTGGTGCTTCGGCGCAACAGAAGGCAATGTGGGACGTGTTCCGCTGCCTCAATGCCTTCACAACGCAAATTGTCTGCCCCAAGCCTGAGAGCACATGTGCGCTGGGAATCATGCGCACAGCGTCTTTGGAGTCCGTCAAGAACCACCTGCGTTGCTATGCTCGCGATCCACTCATGATATTCCCCGTCGCCGGCCCCCCCGATAGTACGCTCTGGGACCTGCTGGCCGACGAAGATGTGTGCGATTCTTGTGTAACTTATATCCAAAACCAGCTTCAGGTCACACGACGGAAACTGTGGGATTGTTTGCCTGGGCTGTATGGGCTCCCTCCTTGGCACGAGTTGGAGGCACTCAAGCACACCGCGATCGAGGATGATTTGCACATTTGGACTAGCTGTAGATAGAGTGTTTATTTGTGTATTGAAACATGACCAGCAGCCAATTGTGGGCGCGTTTGAGCCTAGTGCTGGCCAATATTATACTACTAGACAGGCTGGGGCTCCAGCTCTGAATGTTGCGTCAATTTTTGAAGACTATTGTCTGTGAGCTTATGAATTCCTAAGGTCTACATGACTTATGGGTTAATACTATGTATAGCTCATGCATACTGTTGTGGATAACCCAAGAATAGTAATTTTTGTTTGACAGCTTGTTATCCCTTGGTTGCATTTTACAGCTTTTCTTACTATTAGCAACAGCAATGACCCCCAAAATGGCAATGTGGAGTAAATCAATTGCGAAAGCCAGTGCCAAACATGTGCATACATTCACACGACATCTGCTTAATATAAGAGTAATGGCTGATTAAATATTGAATAATATTCATTCAGAATATTATGAATATATTGTACCCTTGGTCAATATATTATTTTTTAATAATGTTATATTTAATATTATATATTTAATATATTATATTATATATTATATCATGACTATACTATATTATGGTCATAGAATAAGTATTCAAATATAGTAAGGTGGATTATGATAGCCATTTTTCTACTCTGTGTGCCTACTATATAACTAAACTTTATCCCAACTTAGTCCAATTTACATACTTCAATTCAAAGTCATATGCTTTAAATCAATGTTATACGTAATCCATCATATAAGTAGTGATTCTATGGGGCAATACTGTAGCATTTTATTCAGTTCGTATGTCACGTGTCACATGAGCTATAAAATTCGAATTTTTTCCGCATGTCACACCATTTTGGGCAAAATCCCGTCCAAAAAAGGCAATTTTTGACATTTCCGGGCGCCTCCGGCGCCAAGAACTTCCCAATTAGGAAATAATTCGAATTCATATTTTCGTATCAGATGTCACACGACTTTTGGCATTCGAATTGAATAAAATACGACAGTACTATAAGATTTTATTCAATTTGAATGGCCCGGGGGGTGTGACACATTGATGTCCGAAAACATTTGTATAATGTTCCCCATTTGGCAATTTGGTGCAAGGCACAGGTGGAAAATTACCATTTTAGAAAGCTAAAATTGATCTTCTGCTATGACATATAAAGAGAATTTCGTATAAAATCGGTCATGTGACATGTGACATATGAATTGAATAATATCTTATAGTACATCACTCCTACTATAGTAGAATATCAAAATAGTAATTACATTGGGATTACTCTGCTTATAGTGTAGGACCTCTGATTAAGTTTCCACTAGGCACTAGCTTAATCCTTGGATCAATGCCCCTGTAAGGGCAACCCCAGAGGCCTGGGATCAAGGTCTAGCAGGGGAGAATCCAAAGCAAATACAAATGAAGCTGACCTAGCAGGGAAGGATCCAAAGAGAAGAAACTCTAAGGGTCCGCCTGCTAGGACGCCAACCTAGCTGTCTGTAGCTGCTGCTGTCAGGCACAGAAGGAAGGCCTGGGCAGTGTTGCAGGCAAGGTCCCAGGGCGACCATTGGGAGGGCATTGACAGATATGTGATGGTGCCGTGATGAGTGCGGAGTGGGACAGTAAATGAGCTCTCTAACCAATCTAACCCACAAAAACAACTAAACTCCACTTTTCGTAGAGAGAAAGATATATAATGTTGAGTAGGAAAAGTCATAAAACCCAAAAATCATCAACTCCTTGTGCGAGAACAGGCCCCTGTGAGCAGAGCCTTGGCACAAATGTGTAAGGTTGTAGGGTAGATACGAGTTTCTTGCGAAAAATGTTGATTTTGCATGCCCCAAAGCGTACTATTGATGAAACTCAGCAATAGAGAAGCGCCAATATGATGCCTGGAGAGTTTATACTTGTTGGATCAGGACTAACTGCCTTAAACCCTCTGAGTTGTCTCGAGTCAGGAACTAACTGCCTTACACTCTCGACCAGCAACCGAAACCCAATGAACAGCAACCGGAACTCTTGTATTCAGCAACCGAAACCCTCAACCAATAATCCTTCCACACGATGATACTATTTCAAAAGAGCTAGCAAGATAGATTGACGAGCTAGATCCCCAGATGCACCTAGTAGAGTGGGGCAATCTGTGAATCTCCTAAATACAAAACAGAGATATAAATACTAAAACGAAATGGATAAAATCAGGGAAGATCATGAGTAAGAAAAGTAGTACCATGCGCATAATTGTATTGGTATCGTTTCGCCATAGGGTCCAGAGTCGAAAATTCAGGTCTAGATGACTGGTATCACGTGTATTGGTGTCAATGACCTGTGTAAATTTTCTGTATTTGCGACCATCTAGTTTTCCTTGTGAAGAATCCCTCAATCTTGAGTAGGATAAGTTGATAGCTCTGCTTCCCAGCTTTCGATTGACACCCATAACTTGTATCTTGTGTGTATGGCCTCAGTGGTGGTTGTCCCAACTCTCCTGGCGCATTTCCAATGTTCAGATGGTCAGTTCCTCGACAGTGTTTTAGAGTCGCCGTTGATCACAGGTCCAGGCCCCAATCAATTGAGTAGGTTTTCGCCATTTAACCGTCCCTTGGCACTCTCGATCCTCCAGCAAGATCCGAAACCATGTTCCAATGATGTCAGTCGTCGATACCAACAGAGATAGGGGTATCCTGCCGCGCACATTGCCACCCTCCTCGCGCCGGGGCCTGGGGCCGCCGGGCGCGGGCGTATGCACCAGCTGCCGCGGCCACCTCGCGCGCATCGTGGCCTTGCCGTCCATCCGCACGCACGTCGCGCAGTGCACGCATGCCCGCGCCCCCACTCGCACTGTTCGCCCCATGCAAGTGCGACTGGGAGCGGGCCCCGGAGCTGCGCGGGGCATGCGCCGCGTGTCTGGGCCACGTGCGCGCGGCACTGTGGGCCGCGCGGAGCAAGTTCTGGGCGGGGCTCCCCGCGATGTACGACCTCCTGCCGTGGCTCGGGCTCGAGGCGCTCAGGACGGTTGCGATCGGGGCGGATACCTTCCGCGATAATACGCTTGTGGCAGATGTCGGCATTATATAGGTCTTTTATCTGCATTTAGATGGTATTCATAGCCCATTCATTCCCCTTGCAGGAGTATATACAAGAATAATGGGACTGGGACTGGGACAATGGGACTTGAGTCCCACTTTTTCCAGTCCCAGTCCTATTCCCGAGGCCCCAGAGTGGGACTCGGTTACGAGATATCACCCAGGTTGATGGATCGACATGTTTTGCATCAACTGGGTTGCGGCGCTGGCCGCAACGACCGGGGTTTTCTACCCCAGACCCCGACCACAGCGTCGCCCTGGACCCACCCTACTAGGGGCTTCCGCTCGCCGCAGGGCCTGCTGCACGGAGCGTGGGTCTCTGTCCGGCCGCATTTTGCTTATTTAAACATTATAAGCACTCATCTTCAATGGGGTGGCGGCGCCGGCCGCGACAGCCGGGGTTTTCCACCCCAGACCCCAACTGGGGCTTTGCCCCAGACCCCACGCTGCCGCTCGCCACAGAGGCCCGTGCGCGGAGCCTTCTGCATTTTTATTTATTTATTGATACATGATGTGTGTTGCTGTCGAAGTGCTCGGGTAAGTGGTCTTGGCGCCGCGAGAATGGTACTCACACTATCAGAATGGGACTAGGTGCATCAAAGTGGGACTGGGTCTCATTGTGCAAGTCCCAGTCCCACTATTCTTGTTACTCCTCCCCTTGCACCCTTTTATGACTGCTCCA